AAACATAACCAGTTGCGTCAAACTCTTGGGCGGAACTCAAGTTACGACTGTCAATAAATCACAACCCACCAATAAGTATTAACTTACTGAGCCTTTTCAACAGGAGGTATTGTGCTAGATGTGAGAAAGTGCTTGTCTAAAAGGCTTTTGACGAGCTCCTTGTTTCTCGGTTGGCCATTCATTATTCAACTTAGACAACTTAGCTCAGGTTAATACCTCCACCAGCTCCTCATGCGCTCGGGAAGAAGCTGGCATTTCTTCTTCCCCCATTTCAATGCTCAGCACATCTAGTTCTCCGGAACTAGACAGCTTAAGCACCGGTTCCTCTTCCAGAGCAGAAGGAACGGGTTTCCAACTCCGGAGAGAGAGAGCACTGGATCCCAAGGCTGAGAAAGGGCGGGGCCCATCTAAAACCCTGCCGTGAGATCCGTTTGCGATCCCCACGGGCCTGAGGCGCAAGTAACGCTTACTTGAAAACCCTGTTGAAAGAGTGACAAGTGAGAGCAGAGCGTGCAAAGCACAGCCTCTCACAATGCTCAACATAAAGCCCCCTTGAAGGCTGACAGAGCATGCTCTGCTACCAAACACATCACACAATGTCTGTGTGTATCCCCACCTAAACAAGAGTAGGGAGAACCACACAGCTTGAACGGTTGTTTGGATGCCATTTAGATATAATATTGAGGTTTCGTGACAGACAACAATAAATATGACAGACAGTTTTGATATAGAGTGCTTGCTGAGGCACAGAAGCTTAATCGGATGTGCTTTTATCCTTTCCAAGTCATGATGACACCCGCCAGTGACGTTCACGCTCGCCATTGGACTAGTTGACACGTGCTTCAGACGCAATCACGCAGGGGCGTTCCCAAAGCGTAATTGACGCATCGCAAGTTCCCTCGAATGGGAACAGCGCTGCTTTACCCCACAATTTGAATATGAAATAAAAAGTGACCTGCATGAGCAGTAATTCAGCACTTGTGGCTCATTAGTATGAAATATATAATGTGAATTTGAGTGATCAAACGGACCTGTATGGGGTGGTGATGGCGCAATGGATAAGACACATGCCTTTGGTGTGAGAGACCTGGGTTCGAATCCAGGTACCAATCTCGCTGGCGAACTGATGAAGGACTACACAAAGTTTATTTATACGGCATCCCTGGTAAATTAGTCTGATTCACTAAAGTGAACAAACGTGCTACCTTGTTTTATTTTTAAAGTTTTAATCCACTTCTTCCTTATGCTCAATTCAGTCGGGAATCCATGAAAACTTAAGTAGGGTCGGCGTTGTTGGTTAGATTTACAAAGTGGAACAGAGCAGTGACATAAATAGCATTAGTCTCAGGCATTGTTGAACTGCGTCGGAAGTGGACATGCACAAAGTTGACAAATGTAAACCCCATGAAACCCGGAAGGGTGATAATCCCCTATTGGCGGCGTCTTCCCGGAATGCACCTCATTAGATATTGGTATGTAGTTTATTTTAATTGAATATTTATTTCTACCTCGCACTAACATTGATTGCGCGTCATGTTCTGTCCATTAAATCAAGCAAAGGTGAGGTACAGGTCAAGCTTGTCCCATTGGACGTTGCAGTGAAGCCCCGCCCACTAAATTTAGCGAGGTGGAGCTGGAGCTCCAGAAAAGGGGGAGCTCGAGCTCTAGCAGAACTTTAAAGGATTAGTTCAACTCAAAATGAACATTTCCTGATTATATACTCACCCCAATGCCATTCAAGATGTTCATGTCTTTCTTTCTTCGGTGGAAAAGAAATAAAGTTTTTTTGAGGAAAACATTTCAGGATTTTTCTCCACACAATGGACTTCAATTGCAACCAACATGATCCACCAAGTCCAAATCAATGCAGTTTTGAATTGCTATGAAGTGCTTCAAAGGGCTCTGCACGTTCCCAGTTGAGGAATGGGGTCTTATCTAGCAAAACTATTTTTTTAGGACTTCCGTTCCTAACACTCAGACTCAAACCGACTCAAACAGAGCTTGACGACGTAGATGTGACGTGAGCAACCCGTCCGTCTTCTAGTGGCTGTGGCATGAGAAATCTGAATCATTCCCTTCCGAGGTGGAGAGTGTGAGTAGGAGCTGTCCATGAGCTGCAGGAGAAACTTTTGCTATTCTGATTATTTTTTGTCATTTTGCCTCCACGTTTCTCCGATTGCCCGCAAGCTTCTCCTCCTGTCCATACGGTAATCTCTCTACTGTGCCACAGAGAGTCGCGTGGTTATGACGCAATCTTTAGCCTACTTTTTCAAAAAAAACTGCTTCTACTGGGCCATAACATAAGCTACAAGGTAATGGAGCATTTTATACATTGTCGTGTTTCTTTAATAAAGGACAAATGGAGTCTTCAAACGCCTCAGATGTAAAGTTATTTGCTGTCAAAGTGATGTCAAAATGAATGGGAGTCAATGGAAATGCTAACGCAAGTGAAGTTCTGCTACAAGATGGCGGCACCAGGCCGGCTTCAGCTTCCGGTCGATGGATTACCCCCTTGATTTTAACATGGGGGGGATAAAGATTTGACTTACTTTTGCTGCCAGCTGCCTCAAGCGGCCAGTCGATGAATTGCAGTTTAATTCACTTCTGTCCGTGTTGGTTTCAAAAGAGAGACAGGGAGGTTGCCGCTTGCATAGCTAACTAGCAAACTGTAGACTGTAGTTATTAATAGTACTGACAGTAACTCGGGATTGAGAGCGAACTGATGCGAATTAGGCTTGCCGCGATACACGGTGTTGACGGTGTTACCGGTTTTAAGCCCCATCACCGGTGACATCACTTTCCCACCGTGACACCGCGATGTCTTGACTTTTTTTTTTAAAGTATTCGTTTTTGCTAAAATATTTATTTGAATTAATTAAAAATAATCATTTTCAATTATTTAGTTCTGAAGAGAGCATTATAATTAAAAATGAGCTGCGCAACGCGTGCCGTCACGTCACAGATCAGCAAGCATCAGGATTCCATTTAGCACGTGTGGAGACGAGAACGAGTCAAATTACAGAAAAGCAAGATAATGGCGGAAGATTTGGTGTCAAAACGCAATGCAAAAGCGCCTGTTTGGCAATATTTTGGCCAATATATATTAATGTTAATAAATGCCAATTTATAGTGTTTTACTTTTTTTTAGAGTGCTGTCATTTATGTAGGCTAAGGTCCTTTTTAAAGTTTTTATTTTATATTCGTCTCTTTTTATTTGGTTTTATCTTATTTAAACTTTGTTTAATTTATTTAAGCCTATTTTGTTTTCTTATTCGTTAATAAACGTTTTATTTGTTTGGGCCCACAGTTTGCCGATTTTCACTTTTTTCAGCCTATGCATGGGGTTATTTTTATTCGTTCGTTATGCTAATAAAAGTTCTGTCTATATTTTATTCGTTTATTATTCTAATAAAAGTGCTGTCTAAATAAAAGTTTATTGTCAGCGAGTTTTTTTTTTTTTTGTCCATTCCAGCAATTGACGCTGAATTGCAATTGACGCTTATTTCGAAAGTGAAAGTATGTCATTTATGTAGGCTAAGGTCCGTTTTGAAGTTTTTATTTTATATTCGTCTCTTTTTAATTGGTTTTATCTCATTTAAACTTTGTGTAATTTATTTAGGCCTATTTTATTTTCTTATTCGTTAATAAACGTTTTATGGTTCTTATTTGTTTGGGCCCACAGTTTGCCGATTTTCACTTTTTTCAGCCTATGCATGGGGTTATTTTTATTCGTTTGTTATGCTAATAAAAGTTCTGTCTATAAATAAAAGTTTTATTATCAGCGAGTTTTTTTTTTTTGTCCATTCAAGCAATTGACGCTTATTTCGAAAGTGAAAGTATAACGCGCACGCATTTAAAAGCTATTTAACCCCCCCGCCCTGCCCTCCACGGTGACACCGGGATTACCGGTGTTGTCACACGTCGATTAACCGGTGGGAAATTTTCCTCACCGCGGCAACCCTAATGCGAATGTGCTCTATTGTTAGGGGAGGGGCCAGCCCCAGTGGCTCCAGTGTGTCATCAAGGGTAGGGGCGTGTCCAGGGGCTCAGGGGCTCCAGCCTATCATCGAGCCCCCGTTTTAGCCCTGCCCAAAAAATCCGAAACACAGCAATGGTGAAGGAATGTTTAACAGTCTAACTCCACAATTCACCGTCTTTGTAATGTGTTTTAGCAATAGATTTTTTGACATTTATAATGTGTTTAGAATTTTACAGGGACTTTAAGAACACTTAAGTAGCCTTTTATTTTATTGAAATTTTATTATCGGTAGTTTTTCTTTTTTCAAAAGTACTGTACTTTTAAGATTTGAAGTACACTACAAGTGTTATGCACAATTGTTTTTTTAACAAGGGTGGCCAATATGATACAAATTCAAAGTTGTGATGAAATATCTACCTTTGTGATCCCTGGATAAAAATAACATCATTAATTAACAGCTGGTTTGGTACAACTGTAACGTGTATGTTCAGCTTAGTCTAGTTTGCTCTGTTTGTATGTGTCCCTGTCATTAGTTATTCCCTCGTTTCCATCACACCTGGTCTGTTACAGTTGATCACCATGTCTATTTAAACCCTCAGTTTTCAGTGTTTCTTTGTCCAGTATTGCTTGGTTTTTGTCTAATGTGGCATTTACATTTTAGAGCTGTAAATGACCCATTCAGATCAGATTTGCACCACTGTTTCAGATTCTGTCTGTTTGAGCTTTACGCAAGTCTTGAGTAATTCAGATGTGTGTCATGATCATTGTGTTTTTGGTTTGACTTGCAGGTGTTCTTTAACACACAACTTTGACCGTGACCAGAAGTGGGGATACTGTAGTTCACCCACACGGTTGTTTAATGGTAAGAAATGTATTTTTTTCTCTCTTTCATGTAAATTGTCATACGATTTTGCATTAGTCTTTTGTCGATATTAGATATCTCATTGACAGTATTTGATCTGATTTGATTTTTTTCAACCAGAGAATTTTTTGCCAAGTAAAATCTAAATATTTAATGTTTAATAAACTGATGCACAGTTAAATATGTGGATGACATAAGCATGGCATGTTGTTCACAATTATTAACTAAATGAAGCAATAATGGAATTTTTTATAATCAGTGATATTTACCTATACAAATATCTCTACAAAAGCATATAAATATACTAAAAATACAATGCAGAGACTTCCATGAACATTTTTGAGTGCTGATGCAAATGAGGCACCTGAGGCATGAATCCATTCACTGAAATACAAATTTTGGTAACAATTTAACTACTTTACTTTAACTACTTTTACTTTACTACTAGTTAACATGAAAAAAAGAATGAACACTACTTCTACAGCAGATATTAATCTTAGTTAATGTTAATTTCAACGTTTACTAATACATTATTAAAATTAAAATTTGTTACATTAGTTAATGCGATGTGAACTAACATTAACAGTTGTAATTTTATTTAGTAACATTGACAAAGATTAATTAATTACGCTTTTTAATGAACTTTTATGATTACATTTTCCTAAGGCATGTTTATAAAAGCTACTTAAATGTCCTAATTGAACTAAGGCCTAATTCTGGCTTAATCTAAACCCTGTTTGTGAAACCAGGTCATACATATTTAAAACTTAACTTAAATCCTAAATAAAAGTGAATTAAAATATTTTTCATTAACAACACTGCATGGAAGTGAATTCATCTGTTTTAACACTGAATGAAAATTCGTTGTGATATTCACAATGTTGCTTCATTTTGTATTGCTTAGAGAAAATTATTAAATGTAATGTATAACGCAGCTTTAGTCTGCAGTCATGTGAACGCTTCCTGCTTGTGGATGGATTAATGGCTGACACTGTGGGTTTACCCAGCCCGTTCTCATCCTTTAACGTCATATAGAACGCTATATGCAAAAACGGCGCTATACTACGCACATGGCTCCCTTTATCGTTAATATAACACGCGAACCCAAGACGTTATAAATCCTTTAGCGTGAATATGACACGTACACCCTACCCCACACCTAAACTTAGCCCTCACAGCACGTGTTATATTAACGATAACGGGTGCCATGTGCGTAGTATAGAGCCGTTTTGTCACTAGCGTTCTATATGACGTTAAAGGATGAGAATGCGTTGGTTTACCAGGATGTTTTACTTTCAGAGAGAGGTGTTTATGTTAATGCATAAATGACACGCTTTGTTTGTAAGACGCAGACCTCTGTTTATAACAGCAGATGTACAGAGTTTGTTTTCAAGCGGGTGCTCTGGTTCAAACACACTGTCTGTGTATACGCTCACGTCATGCTCTGGTTTTTTGAAGGGTCATTAGTGGCAGTTCTGGCTTATTTGGTTCCCTGTACAAGACGGTTTAAGCTTAAGTATTAATTTAATTCACTTGGACAAAAATGTGCTGTGTAAGTTCAAATGGGCAGAAATGCTTCTGTATCTACATGCACAGTAATCATATGCGTAAAGCGGACTGCATTTGGCACAACATTGTTTATGATTTGGAAAACAGATGCTGTATATGACTCATTGACTCATTCAAGGTTTGAGAAATGAGCAAACTCAGCTGCATGATGAATCAGTCCTGTCGTCATGATGATAAGCAAGTTTTTCTTTATTTATCTCATTCGCTCCTCAGGGTTTCTTCCTCCACGTCAGGGTCCAGGTCTCTGTCGGCAAAACCCGTGTTTGAATGGGGGTGTTTGTGCCACGAACACTCACCTAGACTCATTTGATTGTGTGTGTCCGGATGGCTTTACTGGAGCTCTGTGTGAAAAAAGTGAGTGAAAGACAGTGAAGTGGCTACGGAGGCGTATTGCATTCACTTGAAGAAAAAAAATCTACTCTGTTTTTCTGAATTAACGAGTTAATTTTTCATGAGAAAAAAAATTTGCTCTGTTTTTCTGAATTAATGAGTTAATTTTTCATGAGAAAAAATTTTTTTGCTCTGTTTTTCTGAATTAACGAGTTAATTTTTCATGAGAAAAAAAATTTTGCTCTGTTTTTCTAAATTAATGAGTTAATTTTTCATGAGAAAAAAAGTTTTTGCTCTGTTTTTCTGAATTAATGAGTTAATTTTTCATGAGAAAATTTATTTTTGCTGTTTTTCTGAATTAACTCATTAATTCAGAAAAACAGAGCAAAAAAAAAAAAATTCCATTAAAAATTAACTCATTAATTCAGAAAAACAGAGCAAAAAATTTTTTCTCATGAAAAATTAACTCGTTAATTCAGAAAAACAGAGCAAAAAAAAATTTTCTCATGAAAAATTAACTCGTTAATTCAGAAAAACAGAGTAGATTTTTTTTCTTCAAGTGAATGCAATACGCCTCAGTAAGTGGCCATAATGAAATGATAATTTCAGTGTGATTATGGTTATTATTTGCCACTTCAATGGCACAATCATAGGTGGAGTTATGTAAAGTCATTGACCTACTGGCATATTGTTTTAAAGGCTTCACGTGATCCCTTGTGGAAAAGAAGTGCACTTAATTGTATTGAATGTGCTCTGGTGTACTTCAAATAAGTAATATTGCAGATAATAATACTATTAATAATCAAATAAAAGGCCACTTAAGTGTTCTTAAAAAAATGTAACACTTAAGTACATGTTTAAAAAGTGCACTTTTTAAGTTTTAGTTTTATTAATCTTTTGTTGTGCTTGCAAGTAAACTTGTTTTAATTGTACTAAAATCCATTATCATCATTACAAATGTGTAACTACAAATATATTCAAATACATGACAGAAATAGTTTCAATAGAAATTACATCAAATGTTATTTCAGCTTGCCAATACATTCAGCATTACACTTTAACCACGTTGCATATAATAGAAGTAATTATGAAATTACATGTAAAGATGTAAATAAGGGAAGTGGGAAGGACTTAGAAGTCTATGGAAGCTTGTTTCCACCACTGAATAAAAAAATATAATAAATAATTGTGACTTTTTATCTCACAATTCTGACTTTTTTTCTCACAATTGCGAGTTTATATCTCACAATTCTGACTTTATTTCTCAGAATTGCGTGATATAAAGTCGCAATTGCGAGTTATAAAGTCAGAATTGTGTGTTATAAAGTCAGAATTGCGAGATATAAAGTCAGAATTGCGAGATATAAAGTCAGAATTGTGTGATATAAAGTCGCAATTCTGAGAAAAGAAGACAGAAGTGTGACTTTTTTTCTCACAATTGCGAGTTTACATCTCGCAATTCTGACTTTATAACACATAATTGCGAGTTTATATGTCGAAATTCTGACATCTTTTCTCCGAATTGTGAGATATAAACTCGCAATTGCGACTTATTAGGCCAATTCTAAGGGGAAAAATAAGACTAACTTTTTTCCCCCTCAGAATAGTTTAAATCTCACAATTCTGACTTTATATCATGCATTTCTGACTTTATAACACGCAATTGCGACTTTATATCTAGCAATTCTGACTTTATAACTCGCAATTCTGACTTCATATCTCGCAATTCTGACTTTATATCACGCAATTCTGACTTTATATCTCGCAATTGCGACTTTATATCACGCAATTCTGACTTTATATCTCACAATTCTGACTTTCCATCTCGCAATTCTGAGAAATAATGTCAGAATTGTGAGATAAAAAGTCGCAATTACCTTTATATTTTTCATTCAGTGGCGGAAACAAGCTTCCATAGAAGTCCTATTTAAGTGGGTCAATAAAACACTCTAAATTTTAAGCTAATTGAATATAAAACAATGTAAGTATACAGTATATTTTTAAATATAATATTTATATTAAAATATAATGAATATGTTATTATTTCCATTATAAGTATGCTGAAGTGTACTTCTATTTCACAAAGGGAATCGATATCTTTAGAGATATAAGAAGAGAAATATTCCCTTTACTATTAAACCATAGGACCTACTATAACTTTCCGAATTAAATGCGTCTCAGGAGCAGGAATAAAATGAATAAAATCCTCATCAATGTTAATTAGTGTATCAGTAATTACCAATAATAGTGTACGATCTGTTCTCATGTAAGTAATTAATCGTGTGTGTGTGTGTATAGTAGAGCTTTCTTTTTTCAAGCATTACATCACTCGTTTCTCCATTCATGCCATGCTCTCTTTTATGTTTTGAAAATGTCTCATTTTTAACACTATCAGATGTCCTGTGTACCGTGAAGCTTTTGTTTCTCTTCTTTTGTCTGTTATTTGATATTGGTGGAGTTGTTTCTTCAGGGTTACTCTGATTGGTGGAGGAGTCGAGAGTGTTTGGTTTTCTGAAAGATCAAGGTTTGTTTTGTAGAGAAGTGCTACGAGCCGCTGCGTCTGAAGCACTATGACATTGGAGAATCGTGGGGACGGATCTACCAACGAAGCGTAGAGATGTGCACGTGCCTCGGTGGGGAGGTCAGCTGCGAGCGTGCACGTTACACGGGTACAACACTGAAACTACAGTACCGACATCTGATCCCATGGAGCTACTGCTTTTTTTCTTTTGAACATTGTTCTTTCTGTTTTGTGTGTGTGTGTGTGTAGTGTGTTCGCGAAATCTCTGTGAAAATGACGGTGTCTGTAGAATGATTGAGGCCACTGGTGAAGAGGTGTGTGGGTGCAAATCTGGATATATTGGACAATACTGTAACATCAGTGAGTACACACACACACACACACACACACACACACATACCTGGTTTCCATGTTTTATGGGGATTTTTCTTAGAAATAATGATTTTCATACTGTACAAACTGTATATTCTATCACCCCAGAATTGTGTCATATTTGAGGGGACATAAGCACGTAAATGAAACACATCCTGGAAACACAATTTTTAATGTTTATTTTTTAAAACGTATGTTGTATGTTTCTAATAAGTAACTAGATAAGGCAGTGTGGGGTGAGACTGTATGCAGTTTACATTGTAGAAACAAATTTCAAAGCAGGCTTTGTTTTACTCAATTAAAAAAAAAAAAAAAAAAAACATTATAAAACCCCATAATAGGAAAATGTTGAAGGAACCAGGGGTGAATTAGTGTTCTGGGCTTTGTTGTCATCTCTGAACCACTCTATTAACACACATCCAAATTCAGTATAAGTATTTTAATAATCTTTAATTAATAAACTTCCCCTGTGTGTCATCAGACCCACGAGAGCAGTGTTACCGTGATTCAGGTGCAGAGTATCGTGGTGTAGCCAATGTCACTGTCTCTGGATCATCCTGCCTGCCATGGAACTCGGATCTGTTGTTCAGTGAGCTGACAGTAGATACAGTGGACAGCGCCCCCCTCAGGGGCCTTGGAGAACATGCTTTCTGCAGGTGACTGCTTAGACTGCTTACAGTCTCATCATGCTTGTCATTATAGTAAATTGCTGAAGACTGACCTTTTATAATTAAAAAGTGCACTTAACTGTGTTGAATGGGCACTTGCAGTGTACTCCAAGCATTAAAAGGATAACATTTGCTGGTAATATAATATTAATAAAATAACATGCTATTTAAGTGTACTTGAAGAGATTACACTTTGATGACTATGTTTCCTTTTAAAAAGTGCACTTTGTTATCATGTAATATTAAAAGATTTAATTTACAGTACATTTATATTATTGTGTTTTAGTAAAAATTTGACATGTGTTAAAGCTGCAGTCCGTAACTTTTTGGGGTTAAAAATGATAAAAAAAAAAAAAAAAAAAAAAAAAAATTGAGCAAGTACATAACCAGCCAGTGTAAAACTATCTGCTTGCCTTAGCTCAATTTAAAATGGTAAGCTTTTAACAATGTTGTACTGGTGGATTTCCGTGGGAGATTCGAGCATAAGTTTGTGTCATTACATCACATCTGTATACATAAAGAAAGAGTCTTGGGTAGTACTGTAGGCTATATTGCGTGTGAGGATGTTGGAGATGGAGATTTATAGCCTTTTCTCACAGCACTTGATATAATTAAACTTATCAATTTGATGGCGGATCCAGAAAGGTTCAAACTACAATCACCAGTGACAACTGGAGATTCACTTCGGAGTGGCTACAGAAAAAAAGAGACTGCAACTGGGCCCATGCGAAAACGAGGAAAAATATCTGAAAGGCAGTGAATTTAGTTACGCAATCCTGATGTTGTTAACATTAACAATTTGAGAACAAAGTATAATTTGCATGGTTTGACGTGATATGATAAGTGATCGTTAGATTTAATCAGCGTGATTTACTGCAATTCTTTAGTTGGTCAGAACATAAGTGGATGTTACTTATTCAGATTATATTTTCCAGTGAAATTCTTATGTTGGTCATACTTCCAAAAAGTAGAATCTGCGATTCCGAAGGACAGTATCCCAGGGTTGCCAACTTGTGAGTTTTGCTTGAAGTGAGATTTTATTGTTCTTTCCCATATGATTTTGTAAAACTATGTTGAGACATCTGTCCCTCTAGGGGGGTTTGGGGGCATGCTCCCCTGCAAGAAAATTTTGTACATTTTAAGGTTAAATGCATCAATCTGGTGCACTTTGAGAGCTCAAAATTAAGAGCTTTAACCGGCTTCAACCCATGAACTGTGACACTGAACAAAGGAAAAGCCTTGACTTGTACCTGGACATTAAAGAGGGATCAAACATCTTTTTATTTATGATATAGTCCTCTGTTCTAGGATGCCAAATGATTATTATAATAATGAAATAATGATTTATATAATTATTCCTATTACGAAAAATCCATATAGGCCAATAAATGTACTGTATAAATGAAAATGAATATTTCAAAAGTATATTTTACTTACACTATTGTATAGGAAAATTGCAATAGTTTTGTCCTAATTTCTTCACTTTCAAGAAATAAACCCTTGAGCTTTTATTTTGGAGAAAACACCAGATCACCATGCTGACTGCGTGAGGAAAGTGCGCACTTTACGCAGCACAAACAGAATAGCTATAATAGGCTACTTAAATACAGTCTTGTGCTGTTTTATAAAGGCACAATGTCATATCACGGTTTCGGTGTTGGGAAAAGGGAAAAGGGAAAAGGGAGAAGAGAGAGTTCGGCAAAAGGCGGATTCGAACTCGGGTCCAAACGGGTCAAAAACTGCTTTGAAGCACCTCACGCCCTCGCCCTACGCCACTGTAGATATTTAGTGAAGGGTATCTTTTTGCTAAAAGACAGGCACGTAGTGCAAATGTACGCTCTCAACTCACGTTCAAAGTCATAGGCAGCGCAGCATCTCTCTGTCATCACAAAAGCCCGTGTTGACAGTTTGTTTAATATAAAGCGGGAGATTACCAGATACAGTATTTTGCTCGTGCCCTGTGGGTGTAGCCTAGGCAACTGTATCACGTGTTGTTTGAACTGACGCGCTACTACGATCTGACGGTCACATTTAAAAGCAATCCTTATCAAGAACGTGACCAAAACGTTCCTTATCAAGAGTAAACTTCTCTGTCTAGTCTGTCGTGTCAGTGTCATTCCGCGATTTTTCTCTGCTTGATAAAATGCAGTGGTCCAATCAGTAGTTAAGAGCCTGAACTTACTTATATTAATACAAAAAAATACAGCACAGAAGAATTTCTAATTTAGCGTGAGATTTCTTTGTTGAGCGTGAGACCGTGAGATTGAGGCTGAATGCGTGAGTCTCACGGCGTGACGCCAGATGCGTGAGTTGGCAACCCTGGTATCCACACCGGCGCGGAGACTGGCAGCCGCACATTCTCCTCAAACATTGGATCCGTGCTGTGCCGCGCCGAGGCACAACCCACGTAAAGTTGATAATTCCGTGAATAACTGCAATTGCAGATTTCGAACAGAGATGGCGACAAAGAGGAAAAACTATGGACTGCAGCTTTAAAGTACACTTATTTTGATGTGTTGACTAACACATAACAAGTACTTTCTCATTTACAACAACTTCATCTTTGCAAATGTATATAAGTATATTTAAATACCTGACATACTGGTTTCAATAGAACTGGCACTATAGTATATTTTAGTTTACCATAAATGCTTGTCAGTAAATTCAGCAATAATTTTAACCATATTTCAAAGACAACAGAATTATGAAATTACAGTAATTTCATTCCTACCTAAAATTTTATTTCTTACCTAATTTGCTCAAAAAACACCTTAAAGTTCTATTAATTGCCTTTAATATGATTTTAAATACTTTTAAAAACATTTTTGTTTCATTTTTTATTAACATGCAGTTCAGTTCTCACTTAAGTATATTCTGTTCAAGTATTTTATTTTAGTAAGTCTGCTAGTGTAATACTTAACTACGTAACTGTGTACTTAATTTTCTAAGCAATGACATACAATTTTCACAAATTCCATGTCACATGCAAGCACCTAGCAAGTACCTAGCAACCACACAGAGCACCCTAGCAACCACATACTGTAGCAGTGCCCTAACAACTATTATTGCAGTATGTGCAAATGCCTCTCATGTCATCTCCTGAAAATGTAAAAATATAGTAATTCTGTGTTTAATATAGATACCTTTTTATTTGATTTTGCAGAAAGCATTGATGTTGTACTGTCTGAGATTTTCCATGTGACTTCATATGGCAGGAATCCTGATCAAGATAAGCTGCCATGGTGTTACACAATGACAGAGAAAGCCATTTCTTGGGAGTACTGCGACATCCAGCCCTGCTCAAAACAACCATGTTAGTACAACTACACATGCACACACAAGAGCAACAAGTCCTTCAGATTCTCCAGAATATTCTGGATTTCTCAAAAATAGTTACACGTTAGAAGTAAATGAAGCTTCCTAAAAATTCTGTAGAATTCTCAGGTGCTTGCTTCCTGCTTCCTCCAGGCGTGGGACGAGGAAATCTAAACCAGTGTTGCCTGAAGCAATAGGTTTATTGGTCATGAGCACTTGACATCATGTAGATGGAACGCCCTTAGTATGTTATGGGTTTTATTAACCTTGATTCTAGCACAGACATGAGCGACACGAGGGATCGGCGACAAACATGTTAAAGCAAGCTGCTCTTACCTATTTACAATTTATTTACTCTGCTGATCAAAAGTTTGGGGCCAGTAAGATTTTTTGTTCTTTTTCCACATTAACACACTTGTAAAAGTGTGTAATAGTAAAGACATTTGTAATGTTACAAAAGATGTTTGTTTAAAATAAATGCTGTTCTTTCTACTCGTGAAAAGGGCCCTCAAAAATGAAAATATATCACGGTTCTGACACGGCGATAATAATTTAGAATTTTATCTTGAACAGCAAACATGAGATCAACATATTACAATGATTTCTGAAGGATCATGTGACACTGAAGAGTAATGGTGCTAAAAATTCAGTTTTGCATCACAGGAATAAATTACATTTTACAATATATTACAATAAACATATAGTTTTTGCAATGACTTGTTTATATATGGTTTCATTCAGCACACATAGGCCTATTGATTCTATTTAATTTGTGTCATATTTGCAGATTTCCTTTTTCTTAGCTGATGGAAAACTGCCGACAAATGCTCAAAAAACAAATTTTTTTTGTTGCAGTTTCTTGTAAAGTCAGCATTAAACAGAAGTTGCGATAGTCTTTTCTTCCCTATTGTGACATATCATGGGACTTGATTGGACCTTAGTTGATAGTTGTGGTTTCGTATTGGTGGATTTCATGTGATTGACAGGTTGTCCCACCCTTGCACCAGTAAACACGTCATTAGAGATAGTGCTGAAAGATTGATGGAAAGCTATTTTTATTAACCCTTAATCACTCTTTGGGGTAAATATGACCCCAATTGGACTTTTCCTTGATTTTTTTAAAAATGTTCCCTTCATCTCAGAGCCATGAAACTCAGTGACTTTTCCTTAATTAACTATCTAAACATGCACAAAAAAACCTGGGTTCGATTCAGTTGTTCTAAAGGTGTGTAAAAAAAAAAAAAAATTACCATTTAACGTCTTTGGGGTCAAAATGACCCCAATTGAAAATGAATGGGGAAATGAAAAAATGACTTTTGTTAAAAAAATAAAAGTAAATACATTATAAATCTGAAATGTTCCACATATAAACTAATTTTGACAAAAATATTTTGTGCAATTCACAATATATATATATCAAGTTGTGAGGAGAATTTGAAGCATCAAGAAAAATGAAGTGAAAATGAATGAGTCTCTATGGACCCCTATTGGATAGATGTGATCATTGCACTTTAATTCCTTAACTATAAGAAAAACTGTTTTTCGACTAACCACCAGATGTTAGTATTCTATCCCTAACACATTGAGCAATGTCCAAAAACTGTTTAGATTTAATTATCATCATAATTTAAGTGTTTTTCCTTTAAAAAAAAAATCATTTTTCATGTACCAATTTATGGCCTAGTTATGTAATTGTGCAGTAAATAGGTAGAAAACTTAAAAAAAAATCCCCCAAAAAAACAGCATAAATGATTAGTTGAGAAGTTAATTAAAAAAATGATATATAGTTTCCCATATAAAAATTTTATATTTCCTTATGCAATCACTCTTTAAAAGTCTGGGGTCAAAATGACCCCAAAGACCTTAAGTGTTGTCCTTTTTTAAGAGTGATTAAGGGTTAAAGATTACGAGGGCTCATAGTGTCAGGTGTGTTTGGATTATTTTAATTGAATATTCTCTCTGTTCCTGCTTTCAGCTTCCCGCAGAGTTCCTGTCATGACTGCCGTACCTCGGCCGCCCCGCACCCCTGCCAGGACACCGGCGTGTGGTAAGAGGCACAGGAAACGGATCGATCGGGGTCGTATCCTGGGTGGGACTTCCGCATTGGCTGGCGCTCACCCCTGGATGGCAGCGTTGTACATCAGAGATGAGTTCTGCGCGGGAACGCTGGTTTCCGCCTGCTGGATCGTATCCGCGGCCCACTGCTTCCTGCGCAAGTATGTGTGAGGGCCTGAAGTTAATTTTTTCGGCCACCGGCCACTGTGGCAGGTGGATTTAAAAATTCACCCGCCACAGAGACTTTTTACCAGCCATTTTTTTTTGCCTCATAAACGTTAAAAAAAACAAAACAAAAAACCCGGGAATTTCACAATATTGTTCTTTAACTTGTAAGAACACACATTTTAGTGCTGTCAAGTAATAATAACTCTAATAACATACATTTTAAAAAAAATCTTTTTATTCATTGATTTTGACAGACACACACACAACATAGTATATACTCAACAGATAGGCTAGACCTACCGCAGCTCGTAAACAAATCACACGCGGCTGTGTTGATGGCGGATTTAGTCACGTACAGGTCTTACTCTTAACAGCTTTTAGTTACAGCGTTCAGGAACGGTTAAATATGAACTAAATTAATAATGTTATTACTGATAAAATTACCGGGTACCGGACATTTTCTCACCGGTTCCCAACTCCCAACATGCACAGTTGCACACGCATACACATCTGTGCAACTGTCATTGTACTTTAACCTACAACAGCGACGCATTACATTATCTCATCCCATCTCATCAACAGTTTCATACTCGCACACGTAGTCAGAAAAAGAGCCTCATCTTCTTTCTGATCGCATGAACGTTACGAAACAACAGTCGCTGTCATAAATCAGCCGCTCACGAACCTTGCCATTGCCGCCGATTGTTCACTTTGTATTAAAATGTCTTCTTTACTTTTCTTTTTCTCATCCTCATCTTTTTGTTGGCTGTTTGTTTTGTTTCAGCTGGCCTCTTTACCCCAGTAATGTGCCGCCACATTTTAGCTAAAGTCCACCGCAATAGCGGACTTCGTTGAAATGTAAAAATCCTAATGAATCACTCAATTCTCATTGGCTACCCGCCAATGTGGCAGGTAGATTGACAGTGTTACCCGCCAATAGCAAAATTCACCCGCATTTGGCAGGTGGTCGGGTGTTAATTTCAGGTCCTGTGTGTGTGTTTTGTGTTTTATATACATTAGCATTTATGAAATTTAACTTCATTGTAACTCTCTTTCTCAGTCCATTGCGGTCACAGATTCGGGTTGTTCTTGGCCAACATCACTTTAACGACACCGGCTCGAACACCAGGACGTTTGGTGTTGAGGACTATATTTTGTACCCCAATTATACTCAGTTCCAGCCGACCTTAAATGATATTGGTGAGTCTGGACTTCACATTTGAAATCTTTAACATCATTACAAATTTACAAGCAATGTCTTGCATGTGTGTGTACTTGTTTAACCTACATTGTAAGGACCAGGACTAAAGTTCAGTTAAATAGTTCCAATCTTTAGAGTTCAGTCCAAGCACATGTCTGAAGAGACCTACTGTATGTTTAGGGCACACACACACACACACACACACACACACACATTGGGTTTTCATGTTTTATGGGGGCATTCCATTGACAAAATAATTATTATACTGTAAGAACTATATATGTTATCCCATAAACCTCCCCCTACCCCTAAACCTACCCATCACAGAACACTTTCTGCATTATCATCTTCATCATTAAAACAAAATCACATGATTTATCAGCTGTTATATCAGCTATCACATTATTACCTTATGGGGACATTATGTTCACAAGCTAGAAAAAACTCCACACATACTTTATAGTTACTCTTTATTTTGTCCTACATTTACACTTTATTACTTTGCTCTCAATAATGCTTATATGTACACTGTAACATTTTTTTTTTTTGCTTTTAATGAGTCAAAAAGCCCTTGAAAACAATAAATAAAATACAAGTTGAGGTTTTTTACATTTTCAGAGGAAATTCAAATTGTGATTTTTAAAGTTTCCAAGTAAATGCGGATAAAACATACAGATGCAGACGTGGGCTGGTGTGACACAGACACGCTCCAACATGCTTGTTCACCAGCACTTTTGCTGTTTGAAAAGTGTCATTTCCCAGTCTCACCATTTCCTGTTCTGTCAATAGTATTCCTATCTCCAAAAGTCTAAAAATAAAACTCATCTTTTGTATTTTCCAAAAGAAATAAAACAACTAAAGCTCTTTGCCTGTTCAAAACTTGCCAAGACGTTGCAATTCGGGTAGTATGCATTTGTGTGTTGTGTATGTGTTTTATGTGTAATAAAAGCTGTTTTTACAGTCTTACTGAAGCTGAAGAAGGTCAACGGACGCTGTGCTCAGAAAACACAGTTCATCAGGCCGATCTGCCTGCCAGAGAAAGGCACAACGTTCCCGGATCACTTCTGCTGTAAGATCTCGGGCTGGGGTCATATGAGTGAAAGTGAGTATGACTAACAGAGATTTTCAGTATTCATATATTGTGTAGATGTAAATCATGTTTTTGTTTTTTTTTTCAAAAATGATTGCTTTTTAAAAGATAATGATTTTCTATGAGGATGCTAAAGATGCTGATTATATGGAGACAAAAACAGCAAAGCAGCTCGCTTTGTTCACTGTAAAAAATGATTTTTTGGTTAAGTAAATACTAGTGAAAAAACCCAATGTAATTTACTTGAAAAAGTTAGTTCAGGCAAGAATTTAAAAAACTAAGTAAATTCCATATCAGTACTTATTTCAAGCGAGTATAAATGAAAGTGTAAATATCAACTCAATAAAATTAAGTAAAAATTACTCAACTTTTCTGATACTGGGGTTCCCATCATGCACTGGACCTTGAATAATTAATGAGGCTCATTTTTCACTGGTTTCCATTTACACTGTGTTATCATTGATTTTTGTTGTCAGTATTAGTAAATTGCCATTTTGTGACATTTCGAGTAAATTTTTTGCTTAAAACGACACATTCAAACACAAAAACGATCCATCAAATGTTACCGCCATTGTGTATTGTCTACCAAGTATTGAGGTGTTTGCATTCACATAAGGCTGAAAGTCTGACATGATGTATATATAAATTACTTGGATGATTCAAGTAAAGAACATACTGTAAATGACTAATAAAATTCAAGATAATTGTTTTAGTGAAATGTAATACAAAGGCAAAGGAAATCGGTATTAATCAACCTTTTACAAGCCAAGTTAAAATTACTTATTTTTTGTAAAGTTTACTTAATTCCACATTCCAAGTAAATTTAACTTAAAGATTTCTAATTAAAGCTACTGATAAATATGTTTAGGTTTTTACTTGGCAAATCTTTGTAAATTTACAAGCATTTTCTGAGTGAGATAGTTTAGCAAGGTTTTTTCAAGTAAATCCTACTCCAAATTTTTTACAGTGTTGGAACACACACACATATATTAAACAGTATAGGTGAAACTCGAAAAATTAGAATGTCGTGCAAAAGTTCATTTATTTCAGTAATTCAACTTAAAAGGTGAAACTAATATATTTTATAGACTCATTACAGGCAAAGTGAGATATTTCAATCCTTTATTTGTGATAATTTTGATGGCTTACAGCTTATGAAAACCCCAAATTCAAAATTAGAATGTTGTAAAAAGGTTTTCATAGCTGTAAGCCATAATCATTAAAATTATAACAAATAAAGTTAAATAAAGCTACTACGTATATTAGCGGTTGAACAACTTCAATTTTTTTTTATGTCAACATTAAAGTGACTATCAATAATGAATCACGAGCTAAGACTCAAACGCGGGTTGGCTTGTGCACAGATATAGCATATGACGTCCCATAAGGCTATTGCTCATATAACCGCTTATTTTGATCAGTTCTTTTGTCTTTGGGTCCTTATATTTCTCACAGATTTTTGCTCGTTCTAAATCAGATACAAATAAAGTAGCACGGTAAAGATTACATTTATATGAATGCGTTAGTGAGAGAACGATGTGAATAAATTCTACCTGGAAAATCTAATCTAAAGTAATTTTTGCTTATTAGTTTGGTTGAATTAGATCATTGAAGGTCAGCAGCAAAGACATTGGTTAATAAAGTGAGATTAAATACATAAAGTTGTATCATTTAATATGGTTAAAATTATTGCATTTGACTGCTTTTATTCATTTTGAGGAATACTGAATGTTTTCGTGCAAGTGAGATAAGTAAATGCATGTTCAGTCTAGAACTAAATCATCATGTTTACACAGCGCACACAACACCTCCTCACTTTTTTTCTCTCAACACGGGGAGAACTGTCAGTCAATAAATGTGAATTATTTGAGTAAATAGTAAATTAAAAAAGTAATGCATTACTTAACTAGTTACTTGAAAAAGTAATCTGATTACGTTATTCAAGTTACTTGTAATGAGTTACCCTCAACACTGTTGACAATACATATCTGCGCTTCTGAATGTTACTGTGTGCCCGCAATCTACACATGATGTGCTAGCTAATGTCTGTCTGTGTGTGCGTTACAATAAGCAGCGCATTAGTTTAGACCAGCGATTAACTTATGTGTGTGTCTGTGTGTAAAATAATGTCTGTATCACATTGTAATTGTTTGAGGTCAGCATTATTCTGATAGTTCCGTTAAAAAAAAAAGATTTTCTTACTCTGTATGTTTGTCTTGAGAAGCTAAATGGATATTGTCTTGTTTTTTGAAAAATGTATCAGAATGAACCAAATTTATTCTTACAACAAGAAAAAAATATCTGCAACTAAGGTCTGAATTTGTCAACTTTTTCCCATTTGAGTTTATAGTATAAACATTAATCATGATCTGCATAAACTTGAAAGTAACTTGTGTGTGTCTGTTTAGAGGCAAACTCATATTCAGACCTGATCGAGGGAGTGGTGAAGATTATTCCGTTTGACCAGTGTTCGAGTCCAGATGTGTATGGATCAGAGGTCCGGTCAGGGATGCTGTGTGCCGGGAGTGACTCCTGTGTGGACGCCTGCCAGGTAAGACGTCAAATCACTAAGCACTAATATGATATATCTTCCCTTTTTTACAAGGATCTTTTAATTTATATATATATAATATATTTATAGATGTTTTACTTTTTTATTTTATTTATTCTATATCAATATTACTTTTTTTTTAATAATTTAGATGTATTTAACCCTTAAAGAGTTTCTGTATCCTGGGGGATACAGACATTTAACAGGCTGTAGGGGGAGGGGCTATGGGGGGAGAGGCATTATTTGGTTGCAGTTGATGAGAAACACTGATGGGGTGATGGGTCATGTAATCAGGTCATGTGACTTTTTGCTATAACATTCCAAATATTTGTATCAAAATCCAAAATGGCAGCATATATGGACAAAGACACTCGCCATGAGCTAAGTGTTTTTATATTTTTCACGATTATGCTATTTTAGAGTGATTTTGTTTTAGAAAGTAGTTTAAGGATAGTTTTACATGTTCTTGTTGTTATTTTCAAAATAATCTTCTCACAACTTTGATTATTAGGCTTTGAATGTTTGTATCCCGGGGGATAGATTGCCCATATAAGGGTATTTTCCAGGGCTGATCACTCACAGATATTCACATGTTTTGAGGCCTGTTCTCTACAGATATTGAATAGGATAAAGGTTTTGGATGTGCCAGGATGGGCAGAAATCCATCATGTGTCAGAAGTGCAAAGTCAGGCTTTGTCTGGTCACTGGTCAGCACCCCCCCCCCCCCCTTTTTTTTTTTTTGAGAATAGGGGTTAAATGCTCTATTCACACTTAAATGGTTATAATTCAAGAATGCCTTGGAATATATACCCAAGTTTGGTCTTGTTTTAAAGAAAACACTCAGCAGATTATTGCTGAAGTGAAAACACTTCAAAAAATAAAAGTATGAAAAAGTTATGGAAGTTTTAATTCACAGTAAATCAAATATACTGTACTATGTATTTTTTATTTTATATAAAATATATATTTTACAAAATATTTTTACTCTAAAATTACTATAAAATCAAAGCCATAAATCTAACCAAGTTATGTTCCAAATTTGAAGTTGATATCACAAAAATTGAAGTTCCCATGAGATTTTGTTTAGGCGTAGTACCAAAAATAGCCATTGAATTCCATTGAATTTAGTTGTGTTCATTCTGCCTTAACAAATTAATACATTTCTGTCCAAATATCAATTTTGTCACAAAATTTGGAACCTTGAGACTCAGACCTTTCTGACAATATGTGTTTTGTCAAGATTAGAAAAGGTTTTGATCATAAATTATGAAATATAAGGATGCCCAAAAGGGGAGGAGCCTCATAAAATAAGTACCGTTTCTATGGTAACGCAACGTTCAATTATAAAATGGTTTTCACAGGATGAATTCTGAGTTTATAAGCTTTCAAATTATACCTAATTTATGATAACTACTAAAATATGTGATATAATAAAAAAGGCGATAAAAAATATTATTATATTTTAGAGGATAATATATACATATATATTATAATTTTTAGAGGATAATGTTATACTATACTTTTTATTTTTTATTGAAAAATACTAGATTATATGTTTTATTATGAACTTTTAGCATAAAAACAGAAGTTTCAATGATTAAAAGTGGGTGCATCAACTTTTTGTGACAAAGGTCAGACCTCCTGTTATGATGCAGATTTTTTTAGGTGCACTCTTGTCATAAATTCATTAATTACTCTTCCTACATAATTTTTAACACAAAACAGGGGTCGAATATTTAATTAGAAGTCTTAGACCTTTCCAAAAATATATAATTTGTCATAATTAGATTAGGATTTAATAGAAATACAGTGAAGTAAAGTTAGGCGTCCCGGTACCGGGACGGTGACAGTTAAGGGGTTTACATAAATTTGACATTTTGTAAACTGGCAAATGGAATGTAGATATATACATACAGTAAAGTAACATTAGAGAATAAAAATACTTCTAAAGCATGTATTACTCTTAGCTAATATTCATTTCAACATTTACTATTATTAAAATCAAACATTGTATCTGTTTGTTACTATTACTAAAATCAGAAATCATATCTGTTGATATGTTTTAAAGGGTTAGTTAGTTAAAAACATTTACTCACCCTTGTGTCGTTCTTAACCCGGAAGACTTTTGTTAACTTTCGAAAAAAAAGGGATAGTTTAAAGGGATAGTTCACCCAAAAATTCAAATTGTCATCATTTACTCATCCTCAAGTTGTTCCTAACCTATATAAATGTCTTTGTTCTGCTGAACACAAAGGAAGATATTTGGAAGAATGTTTGTAACCAAGCAGATCTTGTGCCCCATTGACTACCATAGTATTTTTCCTACTATGGTTGTCAAATGGGACCTGAGATATCTATGGTTACCAACATTCTTCCAAATACCTTCTTTTGTGTTCAGCCGAACCAAAACATTACAGGTTAGGAACAACTTGAGGGTGAGTAAATGATGACAGAATTTAATTTTTGGGTGAACTATCCCTTTAATGAGCATGAACTAGGAATGTATGTATATTTTTATTTACTAAATGTTAACAATACTGTAACAAATGGATAGCTCTTGTTAGTTTACGTACGTTAGATGATGCATCATCTAATGCGACCTTATTGTAAGTATCACAGTTTTTGCTAATGGTTGACATTGAGTAAAAAAAAGAGTTTTTGATTTTTGCTGAGTTGGGTGATAGAAACCATTTTGCATTGAAGCACAAAAAAAAAAAAAAAAAAAAAAAAAACATTGACAAATTAGACAAGTCTATCTTTTTTAATGTGTGTGTTGTAATTTTTTTAGGGAGACTCCGGCGGTCCTTTAGCATGTGAGTGTAACGGTGCGAGTTTCCTTTACGGCATCATCAGTTGGGGGGACGGATGTGGACGGTCAGGAAAACCAGGCGTGTATACCCTCGTGCCCAAATATTCTGACTGGATAAACAGCGTCATTAAAAGATCCAGGAAAACATCATCAGCTAACAGAATAAAGATAAACATTTCCATTGGGAATCAATGCCAAAGACAACCCATAAATCAACTGTGACTTTATTATTAATGTATTACTCTTTCCATTACAGTGTTCATGTTATTGAGTAATACTAATGAACTTAAGTGTTGTTAATGCTATTGTATTTATATTAACAAGCAATATATATATATATATATATATATATATATATATATATTGCATATCAATAAATTAAATTTATTGCTGTGAAATGTGTCTTTTAATCTGCATGAAGTATTTTAAAAATGTTTTTAAATCTAAAACTATCTATCAAGCACAGATCATAATAGATAGATATCAAATCGGCAAGATGTGTATATCTGCGCGTCCACCATAAAGTGAAAAGATAAATAAAGTTAAAATGCAATTTTGTTGTTAAATCATAGTATAGCAGCAATCATTTGCATAGTAATTTATTCAAATAGCCTATAGAATCAATCTACAAGCCTTGAGGTATTTTCTCCACTGACTTCCATTCAAAAAGTATTTATGTTGACCTTTGTAATACTCTGACACATCTACATCATCTAAATATTATCAGTTCAACACAAAAATAAAATATAACAATTCTGCATTTTGACATTGTTTTCATGCCAGTTCCTCAGGTTTCTTTACTGTGTTTTCCTTTGATTTTGTCTTTTTTTCAGTTTGGGGTGAATAAATTACCAAAATCGGTACCTTTTGTAATTGTTTAGAACTGTGTGCAGATTATAAATGCGACTACACTACCGATCGGACAAATCTTAGGTAGTTCAGTTGCATTAGTTTTATACGTCACATTTGTTACATGACACATTTTTTAAGGGTTGCATGCATGATAAATACACGCCGGCTAAGGGTTAATTATGTTTGACCTAAAATAATTGTTCCGTACCGACACAGTAACCTTTGACTGACCCCTGACATATGGCCTATTTGGGCGCGTGCTTGAGGCAGCGGGTCGCTCGCTCTGGCGTTATTTTGAAAGTGAGCCGTGCGGGCGCGCGCACGCGCAGCTGTCATGTGGGGAAGATGAGTGATACCGTGGTCGCAGAGGGAGCCGCAAAAATCAGAGACGGCAAAAAAGTATGGAAATCGCACGCGTGAGCTGTATGTGTGTATATAATAAGTTCATGGGTGGTTGTCTGTAAAGGTTTGGTTTTGACTTCTCTCTCGCAGTGGAGGAGCCGCTGGCTGGTTCTGCGCAAACCCCAGCGCCGGCCCGAGCCTTTTGGGGGCCCTAAGCAGAATTTGATTTGGGGGCCCCTCCCACGAGTCACCTGTGTTTGACGATTATTGACATAAATGTCACGCAAAAATGATACATTATAAATGAATACACTGAGGTTATATATTAATAAAAAAATAGATGCCTACTTAAATAAAAAAGTTTGAAAACAGTCTTAAAACTGTCTCAAAACATATACAATAAATTATTTGCTAAAATTATGACAAAACTGAGAAATTAGAAACGTAAGAGCAATGATACTTTGGCCTATCCTCCTGGGACCCAGGAATAGACTTTTGTCCACTGTAGTGGACATTATATTTTAGTGTATTTCTCTGACACCATGCATGTCACATTTTCTTTTCTGGATGTCCTGTAAAGAGCACATTCAGGGCAATACAGAGATACCAAATGTTTGGAGGTTTCACCATGAAAACAACTTCTCCTTGGTCTTTAAAAATGTCTAACATTAATTTAGTGATCAAATGTAGCACTCTTATTGAAATATGGTAATATATTGTAATTATAATTTAAATCTAACTACTTTTCAAATTGTATTTCATCAACCAACATCTCATGAAAATGTTATGGGGTTTCAAATGAAAAAAATGACTTTCCGTTACAGGGCATTGATTTCATTCATGTCCACTGTAGAGAACATCAGGACATAAATCATGTTTATCAGGCATTCTGGGAGACATAACAAGTGAATATGTAAATAAATTATACGTCAATATTCTTATGACATATTAGATATTATTATTAAAATGTTGCTTATTATTACGCCAATGCTTACACTTCTTTCCTCATTAAATGTTGCTCCAAGAACACATTAATGTGCAAATTAGATACAGTGTATAGATACTTTGCATTGAATGGGAATATTCATTTATGCCAATTTTACCCATATATTGCATAAAGTAAATTGGTGTATCAATTAATTCCATTATATCTTTCATAACATAGTTGATAATCATCTTTATAAAAATTTTAGTTCAAAAAAATCCTGAAACCCCAAAATGTATTGGTGATTGGAAAAAAAATCCCATTGTTTTTGCCTACACATTGTATGTCATTTAATTTTAACAACTGAGTCCTGGTGTCCACTACAGAGGACAAAGTATTACATATGAATAAAATATAATTTTTCAAAAAGGTTTTTTTTTTTTTTTTTACCATTTGTTTATTATGCTCTAAACAATGTGATGACATGAAAAAAAACTAAATTAAAAAAAAAATTACCCTTCTCTGGGTCTCAGGAGGCTATTGTTGAAAACTAAAAATATTACTAGCCTATTTCTCAACTGTCTCAATACAGAGTAACTATCCTCAAAATCTTTATTATTGTTGTTATTATTATTATTGTAACAGACTTTGTTATATAGTACATGACATAATCAACACAGTCTGTTACTATAATACCGGTTATGATGTTCTGGCGCTCGTTGTATGTGTGTATGCAATGTATTTTTCCCCTCGGGGCTTGCCGTAGATGGGTAGTGCGCACTTGCTAGGTTACTGGAGTGTCGCGGGTGTTTGGAGATCTGATGTGTGGTATAATAAAGTGGAGAAGAGTTCAAACTGCTATGTTTATTATTTATTCAAACTGCTACCCTTACACCTTGAAGGATAAGTTCTCCTGCGGGCTATTTTCTCCAACTTAAACCGATACCGTGACTAGGCGCAGTTGCGCACGAATTATCTATGCATGCGCGAGGTGTCTAGAAGATTATACGTATGACTTAAACGCTGGCAGACAGAGCAGCAGTTGTAACTTGTAGGCAGGTATATTGACCATTAAATCAGAATTTTGTTGTCTTGAACTATTCATTCAGTCATATTCATTCATTCATTGATTTATGTCACTTGTTTAAGTCATCTAAAAAAATAAAAATAAAAAATAACCTCGATTAGGGGGCCCCCTGGTGGCCAGGGGGCCCCAAGCAGCCGCTTAGTTCGCTTATGCCTCGGGCCGGCCCTGGCAAACCCTCACCGGTCGCAGGTCAGTTATCATGATCACTTTACAGCAACACAAACTCAGCCGTGGCGACTATTAACAAATATGAAAGTGACATGTGAACATGAACTGAACATTGTCAACATGCTGTTGCAGTATTTACAATCTGTATTAAGCATTATTGTAGGCTAAAACAGACAGATGATCGTTGTGGTGCTGTTACATAATAATTTCTATTTCACTGTGAAGTCATAGTATAGTTTTTATTAAATTGTAACAACATAGAATTATAGATTTAGATAGATCAAATATGACCTGATTATATGGCAACAAGTTAATATCTGTAAACATTATTATTACAAATACTTGTGTACAAATACAGAATATAATTTAATATCTGATGCTAACGTTACTCATTTATTCATTATTTTGTTACCAGACTTAATACTCTGCTGGAAGCTTTAAAATCAACCTAAAGGAGTTGCTCTTGTGTTTTATTGTGTTCTATACAGAAAGATACTATGAACGTTAGTGTTCATGGATGATGACGCTGACTTTTGAGTTTTTAATCTATAAGGTGTGTGACTTACATGCGTGTTTCACATACATAGAGAGCATGGATGAACAGCAATATTATTGAAATATTCTGGTCTTTTTTGCACAACATATGCTATATGGGCATTATAGGCTATACATGTAGGATACAGACTTCACGACTGTTAATTCAGGTTTACTCATTTGCGTTCCAGGAGTTTCATATAACCGCACTGGAATGTTTCACTATTCAGTACAACAGCACTCTTGCTTCAGTGAAATGTCTTGCCGTCGCTGCAGTATGTTTTATTGCTGCAGTGAAGTTTTCTATTGCAGAAGATCAGCTGTGAGAGCAGAAATGTGTTCGGAAAGACGTTTGTACAGCTGTTCACACTGTGTGTGTGTTTGTGTGTGTGACAAAGGTTGTTTTGTTTGTTTGCTTTCGTAGTAGCAGGAATCAAGTTTGACCTACCTTGGCAACATCTTTCAGGGGATGTAAGAATTGTTTTTTGGACATGCACCTCATGTACCTCTTTATTCACGTTTAAATATGAATATGGTTAAAGTTTGTAGGTAGTAGACCTATAAATGGTGGCACATGATACACTACACTATCGTTCAAAAGTTTGGGGTCAGTAAGATTTTGAAATGATTCTCTTAAAATAATTGTTTTCTTTTGAAATATATAAAAAAAAAAGTAATTTATTCCTGTGATTTTTAGCATTATTTCTTCAGTCTTCAATTCATGCTTATTTGCTGCTATCAATGTTGAAATCAGTTGTGCTGCTTCATATTTTTGTGGAAACTTGTTTTTAGGAGTCTTTAATGAATATAAAGTTTAAAAGAACAGGATTTATTTGAAATAGAAAGCTTTTGTAACATTAAAGGAGCAATGCGGAAGTTCTGACATTTCTTACCATTACTGACACCAGTGGCTGTTAGAGAAACTGCAGCCAGTCTCATGCTTCTTCTCAGTGGGCACACTCGTTGGCCACACTAGATAAGGCTCTTTTTATTTTTTAAACTTACGAGCAGTTTCCGTGGGTATCTGGATTGTGCTGGAGGCTGGTTGCTTCTTTCCGTCCGCAGAGTCCGTAGCGATTCCGTAGCGATTTCTGCTGCTTACTAATGGCTGCCGTATGGATGTAAGCCCAAGTAGACGAGAACGCGCATGACGACACATTTTGTGAATTTTTGCGCCAATTCGGACCCGACTCCTCCACACACAATTGACCTATGGCTAAGCCTGGCCCCATACACTCAGTTGGACAAACAGTCAACATTTGGGGACAGGCGCTATGGCAGCTGTCAAAGTAGAAGACATTTCACAGGAGGTAATTGGTGATTTTTGGAGACAGAAAGATAATTTATACATCATCTCAAAGTCACCTAAAGGGCCTTAACTATGCATTGGAGGGTTATATTAATCATTTTATTGTTGAGAAGGTCGATGAAAAGCTCCAGGCAAAAATGTATAGGTCACATTGTACATGTGATGATAAACCGCATATTGTTGCCATCACCGTTTAGTGCTACAGTATTTATATGAATCATTCAGCACAACATTGTTAACATTTGTTATCTCAGTTATTTACAGATACGTTAATGAAGCTAAGTGACATGATGTACAACGCAGAAGCTAACGTTAATGTTTTCTAATGTTAGTCTGTTAGCCTAACGTTATGTTAGATATTTTAAAGACAACGTTCAAATACGTTGTTGACTTAACTTAGAATAGATGTAGGCATCCTTGTTTAATTTATCCATGTTTTGTTGATGTTGTGGTCTACCGCATAACTTAATACAGAGCAGACACTTATCTCGGTTGAGATGTGGGTTGGGAAAGGGTAAAAAAACACACACCGTCGGCCAGCCTCTCTGGAACCTAGTGTCGGAGTTGCATGTACCCCATGCACACTGTTTGACCATTTTAAACTTAAAATGACAAGACAAACGAATGAAAACTGACAAACTGCAATGGATTTCAATGGACGTGGAAGCAGAGAATGTCCGAGTGTGTAGAGAGCCTAAGTCCCTCCCCTTCCGGTCGACCACCATGGGACCTTATTTCGGAAAAATATCGAATGGTAGTCAATGGTGAAAGACAACAGATATTTTGATCTCGTTTGAATTGCGCCCTGAATTACACATATGATGTTTGTCAATTTAAAAGATACATTTTAAAGTAAAGAAAGTCGCAGTTTGATGTAAAACCGTTGAGGTATAAGACTGTGAAAATACGTAATTACAAAGACTACAAACCCCAAAGGTGCACATTTTCTTTCAATGAATGAAGCTAACTTGAGGCTAACGTCTGTCATTGTTTTTATAGTCTTACGTTATAATTGTAACGTTACGCCATCATGCCTGAGTGTTTTGTACCAGACTGCACACACACAAGCAGCAGATCTTGCTCGTTGTTTCGCGATCATTGAGCGATTTACACATAAAACTAAATGTTACTTTTCTGTTTTATGACAAACTGCGACGTTTTTGACTCTCAGAAATGAATTATCTTTTAAATTGACAAACATCATATGTGTAATTCAGGGCACAGTTCAGACGGAATAAAAAGATAAGTTGTCCCTCGCCATTGACTACCACACATATTTTTTTCTGAAATAAGGTCCCATGAGTGGAGCGGCGGGACTTAGGCTCTCTATTGGGTTAGCTGCGCACTGTGATTGGCTCATAACGGTTGAGGGCGTGGCTTAGCCATAGGTCAATTGAGCCTACAGGCTGATAGAGGCAACCGTGGTGGACAGTCAAGGTATCATTCTTTCTACAACATTATGGCTGGCTCATAAATGTACAAATGAAGACTCTATCTTAAAGATTTTTTTTTTAAATTTTCTAGGGGCATAAAGTAAATCATCGACAGCTTAAATAAGACAAATGTCCTCATAAAACACACCAAAAAATATCCATTAAAGGGATGAAACTTTAATGAAACTCTTTAAAAAATTATTTAACTCTTTAAAAAATTATTTAAAAAAAATATTTAAAAGGTAAATATGGATTTAAAGTGATGATTTAAAGTCGATGATTTTTTTCTTATTATTTCTACAATAGTGCTTTGTTAAAATATGACTATATTTGAAAACATTTTCACTCAATGAAAGTGATGTCTTTGTCATCAAAGTCAAGTGGATGTTTCAGACCTTCTTGATTGTACAGTATGTCAAGGTAAATAAATGTCTTTAAACCAGACAATGTCCTTTATGAAAGCTAATGTGTGTTTGTTTGTGTCAGATTGTTTGGTGCTGTACGTTTATAAGGAGCGCGGTTTGAAGGACAGGAGCAGCGTGACGCTGGAGCACATCTGCGGTCTGGAGACGTGTGTCAGCGCCGACGTTCCCTTCATCCTCTCAATCCTGTGTCTCAGTCAAACCGCCATGCTCGGCTTCGACAGCAGGGAGGCGCTGCAGAGCTGGGACCTGCGACTGCGCTACTGCCTCGGGGAAGGTCAGAGTTCAACATTTAACCCATAAAACAGTCACTTACATGTGTTAATCAACACAATGACCGATGGCGATGAAATAATAGCTCACCGCTATCTGTTTCCATGATAAAGTGTTTTTTTTAATTAAATCTATGTTTTATTTATTTATTTTTACGTATGCAGCTTCATGAGCTCATATCGATTCAGAGACAACATGGAATAATTATACTATGTATAATTTTAATATTACATTACTGTAATAATATAAAATAAACCAAATCATTGTATTAGAATGATTTCTGAAGGATTATGTGACACTTAAGACTAGAGTGTCTTGTAAAGTGTAATTGAAATTGTATTTATAAATTTAAATTGATCAAATTATTTTGAAAAATATTGAGATAGGTGATATAGTGAGACACTTGACCAGTTCATTTAAAGCATATACTTTTCCACATTCATGTACATTTTAACTACGGTTTCATGTTGATACCAACATCAAGGTGCATTTTGCATCAGCTACCCAAAGACATTTGATTTGATTGACATGATTGTTGTGTATGTGCTTGAACTCTTTGTAGTTATGAGCAGGCATGTGATGCAGTCAGCTGTGTTTGTCTGTTTGTAGCTGCTTTTTTATTTGCATACCCTCATAAATCTGTTTCAAAGTTAGTGCTAACAGGTTTAACCCTGCCTGCATTCCCTCATCACATTTTACACACTCAGACAAAGAGAAGCTGTTACTAGATGGGATTACTGCACAGACCAAAGTACAATTGTGACATTTCTAGCATCAGGAACACATACCAGAGCTTTCTAGTTAGTGCTGTTTGTTAAGGCAAGGTGTAACCTACATGTACTATCGTTCATATGCTGGATTAGAGATTTAACCAACCCTGAACTACGAAATTTCTAAGACTCATGATTTACATTTGATGAATATAAATTAATAATACAATTATGAGTATAAATTAAGCTAAAATACATTAAAAAGTGACCCAGGCTATTTTCACTTACCAGAATATCATAGAGTACTGAACTTACAAGCACCCACAATACTTTAGAAACCACCAATGCCCGAAAAACTACCCAGAAAACCCAAGCAACAATCTTGCGATGCGGTAGAAACTGCATAGAATACTTTTTAAATTACCCAGAACATACATACCAACCATCTGTCAACCACCCAGAACACCCTGGCCTAAGTTAACAAGCACCTTGCAATTCCTTAGAAACCACCTAGCAATGCAAACAACCAGAATATCAGTAACCACCCATCAACCACTCTAAATACTCTAGCAGCCACCAAGAATTCTTTAGCAGTCAACTAGCAACCACCTGGCAATGTCTTAGAAACCCCCTTGTCCTAGCAAACACCCAAAATAACTTTCCTAGCAAGTCCTAGCAACTTCCTTATAATACCCTAGAAACCACCCAAAATACATTAGAATGCACCTAGCACCACTCTAACAACCAGAAGTCATCCAGAACACCCTAGTAACCACCTGGCAATGCCCTTGAATTCAACAAAATACCTTAGTAACTAACTAGCAACCACACAGAACGTCCTAGAAACCACTTAGCAACGTCTTTGAAACCACACAAAATACCCTAGTAAGCAACAAGCAACCCCACAGAATGTCCTTGAAACCACATAGCAACACCCTTGCAACCATACAGAATACCTTTGTAACCAATTATCAACCGCACATAATACCTTAGTAACCACCTATCAAGCACCTAAAACACCCTTAACCACCAATGCCCAAGCAACCACCAAGGGGGTAATCCATCGAACGGAAGTTGAAGCCGGCTGGGTGCCGCCATCTTGTAGCAGAACTTCACTTGCGTTAGCATTTCCATTGACTCCCATTAATTTTGGCGTCACTTTGACAGTGAATAACTTTACATATAAGGCATTTGAAGACTCCATTTGTCCATTATTTATTTCTAAAGAAACACGAAAATGTATAAAATGCTCCATTAGCTTGTAGCTTATGTTATGGCCCCGTAGAAGCAGTCTTTGTAAAAGTAGGCTAACGGTTGCGGCTTAACCACGCGACTCTCTGTCGCACAGTAGAGAGATTACTGTATGGACAGGAGGAGAAGCTTGCGGGCAGTCGGGGAAACGTGGAAGCAAAATGACAAAATAATTCATCAGAATACCTAGCAAAAGTTTTTCCTGCTCCTAGCTCATGGACAGCTCCTACTCACACTCTCCACCTCTGCCAGTTTCGGAAGGGAATGATTCAGATTTCTCATGCCACAGCCACTAGAAGACAGACGGGTTGCTCACGTCACATCTACGTCGTCAAGCTCTGTTTTAGTCGGTTTGAGTCTGTGCGTCAGGAACGGAAGTCCTAAAAAATCGCTAAAAATGGGCTTCACTTGTCTCAATGGAGTTTCAATGAGATGGCTCTGTCCACTTCTTATACTGTCTATGGCAACCACCCAGAATTACTTAGAAACTAGTACCTACCGGTATATAAAAGTCACATAGCCACCACCCATAACACCTTGGTAACCACACTCTTAACACATACTGTATTGTGAGTTTTGCACAGGAATACACCACTTACTGTATGTACTTTTCCTTCAGTTCCAGTTTATTGTTTATTTGTATCTGAATGATTGGTACAGGAAAATCATGTTTTTTCTTCTGTTAGTCCACAGTTTCAGCGTCTCTGTGCTGCCCGGCACTAAATTGGAAAGCGGAGCGGCGACTCTGCATTTATGCAACAATGTCCTGGTCATCGCTAAAGACCTGCCGGCCGTCATCATTGGCCACTGGAATCTGCTGGACCTGCGGCGATACGGGCCGGTCAACAATGGCTTTGTGTTTGAGGGAGGAACACGCTGTGGTTACTGTGAGTATGTCAATATAACAATGACAAGGCTCATTATTTTCAGCTTTTTAATAAAATGCAATATCAAGTAATCAAGGTTTGGTTAGTTATCATGGTCCATTGCTTTGTGACAAGTAAAGTTTTGTTTCAGTTTGTTTCTTCAAGTGGTCCCAACACTGTAAAAAAAAAGAAAAAAAAAATCCAGTTGTTTTTATGGAAAAAAAAGTGGCAGCTGTGATTACCAGAACTTTACCGTCAAAAATACGATATCCACGTTATTGATTTTGCAGACTTAACTTAAAATTTACATAAATAAACTGCATTTCATTAACTGATCTAATGTTAATTTACCAACCTATTGCAGTATTAAAATCTGTTCTGTACCATTGTAATACACTGACAGTGATGAGAGTCACATGATAAATCAAAGTTCTTCACAAGCAGTCTTCCACAAGCAAGTTAATACTCTTAAATAAGCTGCACAGTGTTATTCGCACAAACATTAAAGACCATCATGGTAACACACATTAAAATTAAACATTAATTTAACAAGATTAAATGTTACATAAAACCGACAATAAACAGGATGCACATTCTGCCACCTTGAGCGTGTCAAAATGTAAACCAAAATTCAGCGTGAACTTGCCTCACAGACATGATAAATATGTCTATAAAAATCTTGAACTAATTGTCAGCCAATTCAAGTGGAAAACAAATATTCTCCGATTATGTAATCCATAGACATGCAATATCGCATCCACTAGCCTACTGCTAAAATGATGAGTCAGCATTGTCAGCTTAATCTCTGCAACCAAAAACACGAAAGAAAAGTCAATTAGGATTGGAACTGAAACTCCCTGCTTTGGGTAAATTTGTTTAATTTAATTTTTAGAGAAAATTTTTCATGGAAAAAAAGGTTTGCTGTTTTTTTAAGTCATTAATTCAGAAAAAAACAGAGCAAAAACTTTGTTTCCATGAAAAATGATCTTGTATTGCTGAGATAATTAACTTGTAAATTCAGAAAAACAGAGCTAAAACTTTTTTCCATGAAAAATTATCTCGTTTTTCTGAATGAATTATCTCATTAATTCAGAAAAAACAGAGTAGATTTTTCTCTTCAAGTGAATGCAATACGCTTCCGTAATATACTACAATTATGGTTGCAACAATGAAATTGCCTACATTTTCAGTGAGATCAAAATGAGTAAAAATTATGACAGGATTCTCTCCCTTTAACATCTGTGTGTATTTGTGTGTAGGGGCTGGTGTGTTCTTCTTGTCTTGTGCCGAGGCCGAGCAGATCAGTTTTCTGTTTGACTGTATTGTTCGTGGCATTTCCCCATCCAGAGGCCCTTTTGGACTGAAGCCACTGCTGCCAGGTCAGTGCTATTTGACTGTGACACGCACAGTATGTGTCATTTTATCAGATAAAAGCCTCATCTGTTGCCAAACTCCTACAGCTTTCAAGCTACATGCATCAAACTTTGATTAGTCTGTCTGTTTTCAGTGTCTGTCTCTCTGAGGTTTTCATATATTCAAATTACATTAGCCTTTGTAGTCTTTTGTAAACTTTCAGAGAAAGCTTTTTTTAAGAAAACGTTCAAAGTTTGTTTTGGCAAACTTTGAGTTTTCATGGTAATATCAAATCAATTCAAACTATGTCATGATCCCTCTGTGAAAAAGAAGTTTTCTAAATTTAGTGCATTTCAAATCTTAAAAGTAGAATTTTTTGAAAGATGAGCTTGCAGAGAATATTATGAACAAAATAAAAGGACACAAATTTCATGGCCCCCAGAATATTTTGTTGTATGAATATCTGAACATGCAATACATCAAAAGAAAGAACAGACCCTCTGCTTTTAAACAAACAAGCTTCATGTTCATTCTAGCTTCATGCAGTCTTTTTTATCAACACTTGAATGTGGGGAAGTTTAATAAAAAAAGCAAAGTTTTGAGCAAAAAAACTGAGAAAATCGCATTTTTGTCAAAGACTTGATTCAGAACATTGATTAAAACAGATGGAATAGATCGAGTCCATCAACATCTCGAATGCTTGTTGCTCATCCTGGGGCGATATTTCATTCAGTAATATTAGGCCGTTTTGATTTAAATGCTGTTTAATGTCGGTGATCGGATAATTTTGCATATGCATAATTACATATCGCTTGTTTCTGCATCTCCTTCACATAGGTTTTTGATCAGGAGATTCAGTACTCTTTCAGAAGATGTGTAATAGCGCCCCCTACCGTATAACAGTGAAAACACGAAAAGCCAGTGGAGCGAATGTTAAAGGGATAGTTCACTTTGAAATTATTTTTGATATGTTTTAGCTTACCTCAAGGGCATCTAAGATGTAGGTGTCTTTGTTTCCACAGTATTTTCAATTTTGATATTTTTTGGTCAAACCGTTGTTGTCTATCAGTCATATAATGCAGGTTTAGGGGTACCTCCCTCAGTTCACCTCAAAGAGCATGCGCAGAGAAGTCCAAATTAAACTTGATTTAATGACTCGTAAATGTAAGTACACATTGATGGCTTAAGACACGAAACGAGCGGTTTGTGTGAGAAAACGAACAGTATTTATATCGTTTTTTACCTCTTGTTAACACCCCTGTCGAACTGATCTGAATCAGATGTCCAACTGAACCGAACTGAACCGTGTCCAATGTACGCCGGAAGTGATCTCTCGCGCATCTACATCACGCATTGTTTACACGGAGATTTCGGAAGTTTTACCTTTCACTAAACAAAACATATTTAGATATGCGGGAAATCGCAACGATTTCGATATATCTAAATATGTTTAGTGAAAGGTAAAACTTCCGAAATCTCCGTGTAAACAATGCGTGACGTAGATGCGCGAGAGATCACTTCCGGCGTACGTTGGACACGGTTCAGTTCGGTTCAGTTGGACATCTGATTCAGATCAGTTCGACAGGGGTGTTAACAAGAGGTAAAAACGATATAAATACTGTACGTTTTCTCACACAAACCGCTCGTTTCGTGTCTTAGGCCATCAATGTGTACTTACATTCACAAGTCATTAAATCAAGTTTAATTTTGACTTCTCTGTGCATGCTCTTTGAGGTGGACCCCCTAAACCTGCATTATATGACTGACAGACAACACCGGTTTGACCGAAAAATGTCAAAATTAAAAATACTTTGGAAACAAAGACACCTACATCTTGGATGCCCTTGAGGTAAGCTGAAACATACCAAAAATTAATTCCAAAGTGAACTATCCCTTTAAGCATAAGTTGCTCCTTGTGTTTTTAATTTATATAATGCGAGTGCAGCACTTGCCAGCACTCACTCATCACACTATTGATTATTTTGTTTGTTTTTTTGAAAACTGTTACTACTATATCTATGTACCTCAGGCAAGACATTGAAGACAACCAACCCCATGACATCACACGCTGTGGTACTGAGTCTCTCTCTCTCTCTCTCTCTCTCTCTCTCTGAAATTTAAATCCCCAGTTTTAAAAGCCCCTGGTATAATTCATGCGAGATCAGCTCTATGGCTTTTTACTGGGACATTTAAGACACTAACAAGAGTCACTCATCACACTATTGATTTTTTTGTTTGTTTTTTTGAAAAATGTTGCTACTATATCTATGTACCTCAGGCAAGACATTGAAGACAACCAACCCAATGACATCACACGCTGTGGTACTGAGTCTCTCTCTCTCTCTCTCTCTCTCTCTGAAATTTAAATCCCCAGTTTTAAAAGCCCCTGGTATAATTCATGCGAGATCAGCTCTATGGCTTTTTACTGGGACATTTAAGACACTAACAAGAGTTTACATATCGGCCCACCCAATCAGAGTGTTTCACACCTCATCCTGACCAACAAGAACTTGATCTTCTCTCCTATTCTGAGACGACAGGGGAGATCAAGGGGTCAAAGTCACTGTTTATATTAGCAAGCATTCCTGATAACCCGGAGAACGTTGTAACCTCATCCTCTCTCTTGCAGTACTGTAATGTAAGCAAAGCTGTTCCTGGACCACAGCAGGTGTGGCCATTGCCCTGATACTCAGCTGATGACAAATAGAAGACAGCCAATGTTAGGCCATTGCTTTCCTATAAATTAAGTCAGAAAACTTGCATGCAAAATGTTTGAAATAACTCTAGACACATCCCTGTTTATTATGTACCTGTTGATCGGTGATGATCGGCAAATATCTGACAGCGTCAGTGTTTCTCTGGCTATTTGCCATCTCATCCACATGTCTGCTCTATTAATAGCACTTTAAGTGTTAGATAAACACTGAGGCGATCTGCTGTAACCCCCTTACATGCGGTCAACATGTCCCTGTAGTTTACTGGTACACACAATGTGTATCCATCAGTCGGGCCATAAATTGATAAACATGGATTCAACAACATCAGTAAATGTTTTAAAAAGCACTGACCCACGTATCATAAGTTTTAAATGCTATGATTTTCTCTAGTCGTCAATCTCAAACCATCAGTTCAATGAATCAGAATCTTCTTAAGCCAAACTCGAAACAGGATTGGATTAATATGGGACGAAGTGGGATGTAATAATTATCAGAGCTTCTCTGTAATGTGAGTCACTTCGGAATCCACAATTTTAGTTAATTTCCAGAACTTTTTACCAAAAAAGTGCACTAAATAATTTTCTGTCTTTTACATTCTAAATAATATCCACAAGAATGTGAACAGCCTGTGTAGGCCATTGCACTATTGTAATTTCTTAAATTATACAAAAAAAGGTTAACAATAACTTTTGGCCCTTTAGCAGTTAAAAAACAAACACAATTGCATGCATTTTGCTGAAGAACATTGTTTTAGTTGTGCTCTGGCTCTCTGTGACTGTGCTGATAAATATGGTTATCCTACTGCTCATAAAATTTTCACTATTAGGCTTAAGAGATAAAGGGCCCTAACGATTTGAAATGAAAGTATCAAACGCAAAATGCAAGTAACTTTGTGGGCGGATCATGGGCGCTGTTCCTTTTATACCAGGAGGATAAATTACTTATCTAAAATGGGTTGGTTTGAAGTAGCTACATTACTCACAGGTGTGGTTTGGGTGTAACGTGAAATAATCCAATCAGAGTGACATCTCACATGCCCTTAAAGAGCAGGCGTGCTTGTTCCATGGAGGATTTCTATTATAATGGCAGATTTGCCAGGCGCACGGCAGAAGCGGTTCACAGCCGAGGAGACCGACGTTCTCGTCAGGGCCGTAAAAGACAGGGAAGTGAGTGTGGCATTGCATGGGGATGGGAGAAACCCACCCAAATCATCGTTGGTTAAACAGGCGTATAATAGTTTGGGTAAATGTGTAAGCTATATTATGCCTATTTTTTTACATCTTCATGGACACCACAATACGGAAGCCCTGAACCGCAACCTAAAAAAAAAAAAAAATCTGTAAAAAAAAAAAAAAAAAAAATCTGTAAAAAAAAAAAAATCTAGCATTTCGAGATTAAAGTCGAAATGTTTCGAGATTAAAGTCGAAATGTTTCGAGATTAAAGTCAGAATGTTTCGAGATTAAAGTCGAAACATTGTGCATTCATAACAGTGCGCGTCCACTGGCTCAGAGAGCGCGCGTGTGTGTGTGAAGTCGAACTGCCATGGATAAACCCAAAATAGTAGCTTTTTACTTTTATCTGGGCTTTCAACAAAATTCTACACACGTCACACGTGCTAGTGGCAGTGTTTCTGAGGTGTTTTCGTGCTCGTCTAGTCAACACTATCTGGATCGAGAACACAACAGTAACTGTTCGGTCTCCCTCTTCAACGTAAATACGCCCTGGATACATTTTAAGTGCATCATTCTGTATCCAATCATTTGGCCGGATCCTGTGATTTCCTAAGATTTAATAACCACTTATGGTTGAGGAGAGATTCTCTGATATGATTGTAAAGCACTTTGAGTGTAGGCATATATGAAAGCGCTATATAAATGCCCTATTCATTCATTCATTCATTCATTCATAAAGCTGGATTTCTCCATCCAGTCTGAAAAGTGTTTTCCGTGTTGGTTTTCCTATAGGCTAAAGTCTATTCCGGCGCATTATATTTTATAACGATAAAGTAAGATAAGTAATTCAGATAAAAGTAAAAAGCTACTATTTTGTGTTTATCCATGGCAGTTCGACTTCACACGCACACGCGCGCGCTCTGAGCCAGTGGACGCGCACTGTTATGAATGCACAATGTTTCGACTTTAATCTCGAAACATTTCGACTTTAATCTCGAAACTTTCCGACTTTAATCTCGAAACATTTCGACTTTAATCTCGAAACATTTCGACTTTAATCTCAAAACATTTCGACTTTAATCTCGAAATGCTAGATTTTTTTTTTTTTTTTTTTACTGACTTTTTTTTTTTTTAGGTTGCGGTTCAGGGCTTCCGAACCACAATGATTTCCCTCGTGTGGAATATTTTTCCTTGTAATTATGTATGGTTTGCAAAAATGGCAACTGCTGCATCTGTGTAGATGAGAGAAGCAAAGTGTATGCGGGTTGTGCACGCTACATTATGGGCAAGCATGCGCCCTTAAAATAGCATCTGAATAACGCAGCACTGACTTTAGACTAGGTTTTTCCTGGTCAGTGGTGGAATTGTTTTTTTCTGAAACTGCAAAATAGCACTAGGGAACGTTTGCACCGGAACACGCCTCCTCTTGCCGCTAAACCGACCCCGGGAGTGCAAGTTCATTCCTTAATTTACTGACATGCGTTTGTGGAGGGAAAAGTCCGCTGTGCGTCCGGTACAGAATAGGAATGATAAATGCGTCGGTGTACAAAATCAATTGCGCTGGGGGCCTAAGATCTCAAGATTCTCAAACTGACTGGCTGAAGACGTTACTGTAGCTATACTCATTAATAGACACTGTACTTTCTTGAACATAAATTCCAACACAGAGCTACAACAACCATGATGAATTGACTCTAATGAATGAATTATGATGAATTATGATTTACAGTGAACTCTGTGAGAGAGCTATATGGCAATTTATCTGTTCAATAAAATATATTACTCACCTCCTGAGTAATAAAAAAAAAACAAATATGTGTATGAAGAGTTCAGATGCAAAAGCCTCTAAATGCCATTTTAAATTTTCTTCTAAAATGACCATTTTTATCAAGCTTGCATATTTAAGTTCAGTAATTTCACTTAAATGACAATTAATAGGTAATATTCATTGCCATTTAAGTGAAATTACTGAACTTAAATATACAAGCTTGATAAAAATTAGTATTTTAGAAGAAAATTTCAAATGGCACTTAGAGGCTTTTGCATCTGAACTCTTCATATATATATATATATATATATATATATATATATATATGTATATAACCTGTAAGTCCATTTGACATTTAAATTTAAATGAACATTTGACATTTAAATGAACCTTTCTGTTTTTAGTTTTCTGCCATTTTTTTAAAATGAGGCATTTCAATAACTGACTAAAAACCCTTTCATTACCATTAAAATTACATTACTGAACCAGAACATAGGAGCTGATAAAAATGTTTATATATATATATATATATATATCATGAACTGATTGGAGAGGCAAAGGTTTGAGTTCCAAATGCAGTAATTTCTTAAAAGGGTAATCCACAATTGTAGTCAAAAACTAGCAAAAGGTCACAAACACATGCAGGGTCCAAATAAAAACAGGGCACAGGGTCGAAACCAAATGAGCGTTCAGAAATGTAGAATGACATTAGGCTTTACAGTGGCTACATTTACATGCACAACATTTGTTTTAATCAGACTGAATTCATTCCGACTGATGAATCTGAACCTAGTGTTTTCATGACTCTAAACGTGATCGGGTTGATATCCCAAGCTTCAAAGCGGAATAGATTTTTTGAAATGTGCACACTGCAAATGGTGGTCACACCAGATACCCCCAAAAATATTAATCAATATTTTAATAGTAATTAATAAGTAACACAAAAATCACACAAAAGACACAAATATTTCAATCAATTTGTAAAATCTGAATTTGCAACTTCCTACTAGGAAAAGAGCCTACTGAGGAAAAGACTTCCTACTGAGGAAAAGTCAGACAGCATTCCCATTTTGTTTGTTTACATGTCATATCATAAATTGTGTGTCAAAAGGCTTTATTTGTGTTGGCTGTCTGTCTCTCGCAGTTCTTTTTAACTTGCTCTGTCTGTGTCTCAGAGCCCAGTGTCAATGCAACTTTAGTGCAGGACAGACTAAACCATGAAGCAGAGGAGTTGGAACGGAGGCTCAGTCTGTTGTCTCACAGCACAGGTAACTTAGCTCCTGTGCCCACCTTTGTCTCACATTGGACCCTCAAACCCACATCCAAAATTCCAAAATGTCACTCTGGTGAACCTCAATCTGGAGGATTTACATAAAGCTTCAGTTATCTGTAGAATTTATGTTTGGATGATGGCATCAGATCTTTCCTTTTTTTTTTTTTTTTAAAAAGAAGTTTACATTACCATACTTTTAAAAAGAGTACTTAATAAAATAATATACTCTCTATGCTCATAATATATGCAATAATATATGAAATAATAGAATATATGAAATAATATATGTTCTTTCGTTTGTCCTGAAAGCTTCCAGCTCCCGGTTCGGCTCTTTGATGACAGGAGATGACTGCAGCATATCTGATTCATCTGACACCTCGGACACAGATTGCAGCATTAGCAGTCGCCCTGCGCCGTGGACCGATCTGGTTCTGCCCAGCTCTGCAGAAACGCCTCACACGCAAGCATCTCAGGTCGAGGAGAAACTCTCCGCTGGACTCCAGGTCCCGACTGATCACGTTCGCTCAAGGAAGCTGAAAGAAACAGGCCGACAGAACTCATCCGACAGTGGCATTGCGACGGGAAGCCACTCGTCTTTCACGGGAAGCTTCTCTTCCTACAGTGGCAGTCTGGATGCTGCCGGTCCGGGGGAGGAATACGGCACGCCATTCAACCTGCCACCACCTGCTATCCCAGACAAACACCTGTGCACGTGCAAACATGAGTACCAGATTCCCTCCTCGCTACGATACCTTTATGACTCTCCCCGCAGTCTGCTGGAGATCACCAGAGCTCCAGAGGACAACAAAGACAGTAGCAGATCTCAAAATGATACTGGACTTATAGAGCCATTTGTCCAGAAACAGTCTGAAGAAAATTCAGAATCTCCCGGCCAATTAGATTCTGACTCAGCTCTGAGTCATTCTCTGGAGCTTGGTAAAAGGGAGGAGTCAAAGACAACGGAATGCTTAATAAAAGAGGAGGAGTCTCAGGGATTTTTTTGTAATAAAAGCTGCTGTGATTGTGCAAACTGTTCACTTCCTCCTGCTGGCTCGAAATCGCTCTTCACTACCTGCCCGATCTGCAGAGGACTCAAGGTACACAAACTACTCAGGGTTATTGTAGTTTAAAACTAAAGCTACAAATAATTGTATTACTTGAAATAAATTAAACATTAACTGAAATAATATGAAGTAAATCTAAATCTAAATTGAAAATCTTATTGCCTCATTTTAAACTAGTAACTAGTTGCTCTTTTTAATTTAGCTTAACTTGATCTACTAAAATAACTAAAACGGAAAAAACAAAACAAAAAAAACATTAATCCTCCTTTTTTTGCTCTAAACAATGCGCGCTACCATGACGACGATGCCGGTTGTCAACTTCCGGTTCGAGTCTGGTCTATGCTTTTTTGCCATGTGTTTTAGATTGTGTCATCCCCACATCGCTAAACTAAATAAAAAAAATAAAAACTTTCATCAAATGTGATCTGATCACGTTATTTTTTATTAAATCACAGATAAAAACAAAATGAACGTTTTTCTTTGCTTCATAACTTCCAAAGGATAGCTGATGCATGACTGCACGATCTCCAGCAAACATCCGACAGTCTCTATCACCCCGACTGCTGCAGAATAACAGTACTAAAAGGTTAGGATGGTTAGCCCTTTGACTCCTGTCTACCTCTGCTTTCAAAGATGCATAGTCTATATATTTCTCAGGCCTGTGAGGTTAGGTATAACGTTACGCCGAGTTTCATTCATGAGACCAAAGTCCAGTCTGCGCGCTGTCGCCTCCGTCATGATCATCTATTGTTTACTATATACTTCTTATTTATTAAAACTAGGCAATTGGTTGATGAAACATTGATTGAAATTAAGATACAATTAGTGAAAAAAGGACAGCAGGAAGTAGAAAACCGTCCAGTCAGTTGAACCCGCTATGAATCATGGGAAATAGAACGGGCGATGTAGACATAAAACCAATAAAAATGACTTATAAATTTAATATAAACAATCTCGGTGACACTAAAATGACAGCTTTCTGTTTACGTTTTCTACAATAATGAAAAGATTAAAGGGGTCATGAACTGGCTTTTTAAATTTTATTATATTGTTGTCTGAGGTCAACTTATGACGTTCGCTTGGTTTTTGCATTCAAAAACATCAAAATGAATAAGTAATAGGCTATTTTCTACCTTAGTTTTGAGCCTTTCTTAAAAACGCTGGGTTTTTATGGGCGTCTCGCATTGAATACTTGAAAGTAAACGCCCACTGCTGTGAGTGGATAACCGTTTTGCATTATAATGAGTTTCGACTCACCCGTCGGTGCATGTGGGGGAAATTGTTTTGAAAACGTCCAATGTTGTAAAATGGCAACCCGAATGATTCGTCCATACATGTTCGACCCAGAGTCCGTGTGTTGCACAATTCCTGTCAGATCCAATATAGACGGCACAGCACCGTTCTTTACTCTTAATCGGTCTTGTCAAGTTATCTGGGTTTTTCTTTGCCTCAATGTCTGCCCAAACTTGACAAAGGCCTCAATCAACTCTGAAGGTGCATGGAATAACTCAAACCATCTGGTTCTTCATCATAGAAGCAGTTTATTGAAAATCTCTCATCATTGACTAGATCTTCTTTTGTACTTGTCTCAATGATAATTCCAGAAGGTTAGCTTAATAACCTACACAGAAACAGATATGTGATACGAATCACTACAAAGTGCAACAAAAGTACAAACACCATTGTCAAACATTCACAATTTACACAGCAACTCAACAGCAATGTAAATAAAGAAGCTTGTTATGCAGTTAGAAAGTAAAATGCTAAGCTACTAGCATTAAACACCTTTCAAACATACACAAAATATGTAGTCATTAAATAAAAATAAGTCTTTGTCCTACCAGTTGCATCTCAAAGTTGATGAAACATTGTGGCTTTTCAACAGTCTTTCTCCTTTGGTATTTTGAACACCAAAACCCACCAAATTCAGTAGGAGAAGCACATTTACTGCAAACAAAGTTCCCTCTTGCTCCCAGTAATCACACACCTGGTGGAGTTTGGAGATGTGGAGTTTCAATGACCAATCAGCTACCTTGATTCTCCCAGGTTGCACCATGTGCTCCCAACCAATAGGCTGCACTCATTTTGATCTTAAATCTTCTTTACCAATGATGAATTTATACTTTTTAACCATGTCTCTTTTTTTTCCTTTTTTTTTCTTTCTCTCAAATTCAACTTAACACCTCCCACTTGAGCTCCTGGTCAACTGACCGAAGGAGGTCACACACACTTCTTAGCTGAAATGTCTTTACTGTTCTTCAATGGGAATCAGAACTACCAAACGTCTCACATCCCTACGCAGAATCGTAGCTGGAATTTTGTCACAATGCTTTTTTGTTGGTTTGACATTCTTGCCGGTTTCTGCTTGGTTTGGTTTAACAATCGAGACAGGATAGCTGGGGAATACTCTGACCATTACATCTCTCACGGTTCCTTTCTTGTCTGCATTTATATCGACGACTCTGGCCATCTTGTACTGACCTCTTAGAGCATTCTGGTCAGCCACCCATACCACATCTCCCACGGCAACGTTCCGCTCTTTAGTATGCCACTTGTTTCTTACAAAGAGGTTAGGACCTGCCAGCTGACACCAACTTCTCCAGAATTTGTTGACTTCTTCCTGGATGATTCTTAGCCTTCTGTATGGATAGCCTTCAAACTCAAAACTTCCTTGATCCCCCTTTCTCCCAGTACGACCCAGGAGAAGAGAGTTTGGACTTACATATTCCACACAGTCTTCTCGACTTTGTATCCTGGCATCAATAGGTCTTTCATTGACCAGATTGCTTGCCGTGTAAAGAAAAGTTTGAAATTCCCCCCATGACATAACTTTGTTACAGCCTAGATTCAGTAGGGCCCGCTTAACTAAACGGACAGCCGCTTCTGCTGCACCATTCCGGTGAGGGGAACCTGCCGGGTGAACTTTCCAAGACCATTCCGTGCCATTCTTGGCTGCTTCCATTCCTAACTTTTCTCGGTCTTGTCGCTCTAGGAACTTATGAAGATCCTCAAGAACAGGCTTGGCCCCGATAAAATTTGATCCTGAGTCTGACCACAGTTTCCTAGGATGTCCTCTTAAAGCTGTGAATCTTTGGTATGCCAGCAGAAATCCTTCTGTTGATTGGTCACTGACAATATCAGTATGGATAGCCCTTGATGCCATACAACAGAACACAACTCCCCAAACTTTGAGTCTCACCCTCATCTTTATTTCATCTTTTACCCAATAAGGTCCAAACAAATCCAGGGTTGTGAATTCAAATGGTCCAGCTGGTTCTGACCGCTCTGGTGGAAGGTCTCCCATAATCTGTTGGCATTGCTTTGACCTTGCCTTCTTGCAGGTCACACAGCAGTCTACGGATTTTTTAGCTAGTCTGCGGCCTTTTATAATCCAAGCTTTTCTTCTCATTCTCAACAAAGTTCCAGCCACTCCTTCATGGTTTACTTGATGAGCTTCCTGAGCCAGAAGTGTAGATACATATGCATCATATGGTAAGATTGGAACTGCAGTCTTATCCTCATTGAAGATTTGAATTCTTCCTCCACAAACAAACAGTCCAGAATTTTCATCCTTGTACACTGCCTACCTACTGAGGGTAGTATCAGAAAAAATCACATTCTCTTGGGCTGCTAGAAAGAGATCTTCAAGGGCATCCTCCTGTTCTCTTACCGTCAAGATAGCTTCGTTGACACTTTCTTCCAAAGACTTTACCTCCCACTTTGATGAACCCAAGGTCTTAGTTCTTATCTTCAGCCACTTCTTCACAGCTCGACGCACCCAAGCAGTAACTCTGATCAGTCTGGACAATTTGCTGAATCTTTCAACTTCAAGTAACTTACTTGCTACTATGCAGTCATATATCCTTCCAGATGGAGCAATCTTAGCCTTCTCATTCTGACTTGCAGAATTGCCTGAATCTGCAATGAGGTCATTTCCTCCTCCCTCATGAACGCCCACTTTAATTTTCTCCAGGAGGACGGAGCCTTTCTTTTTCTTAGCCAGACTTCTGGTTAGTACTGCAGAGAATGATTTCCTCTGAAGTCTGTTAATAGCTTCTCTTGCAGCAGTTGCAATCTCAGCAGCTGACTTAATTGGCCAATCCTCCACTGGCCATTTCAAGAACACAGGCCCTCTCTGCCATGCAGAATCTTGTTTTAGGCCTTCTGGACTACCTCCCCTTGTGATAATATCCGCAATGTTTAAGTCACCTGCGATCCACCACCAATCCTTAACTAGCGTTGTTCTCTGGATCTCTCCAATCCTATTGGCAAAGAAGGACTGGTAGCCATAGCTAGCCCGTTGAATAGCTCCCAACACTGTTTGGCTGTCCACCAAATGGAACCATTGGTCAATTTCCACTTGGCAATGTTTCTCAATATATTTTTTAAGTCTTGCTGCATAAACTGCACCACACATTTCAGCCTTGACTGCTTCCCCTTTTTGATCCAAAGGAGTCAATTTGGCCTTGGACTCAATTAGCCTCACTTCAATACCCTGGTCTGTTTCCCACCTGAAATATGTTACAGCTCCATAGGTCTTATCGCTTCCATCAGAGAACGTTATTCCCAACGGTTTTCCTTTCCAGCCTCTAGGTGTTATGCCTCTGGGAAACGTTACCTTGCTTAGGTGAACATACTCCTCAAACACTTCAATAGCTTCTTCTCTGAGGTTTTCTGACAGTGGTTCATCCCATGTATCTTTGGCCAACTTTCCACGTCCTGCCTCCTGAAATGCCTTTCGTACAAGGATGGCCCCTTTTTGCTTAACCGGTGTGACCAGGCCAATCGGATCATACAATCCTGCCACCTGACTCAGTAGCATTCTTCTGGTCAGAGGATTAGGAGTCTTGGTTCTGACCTCTTCTTTGAGGAGGTTTTGTCCTATCCTCATTTTCTTCTTTCGCTTGGAAAAGTTAATTGATGTCATGATGTAAAGTGTATCCTTTTCTGCCAGATACCCAACTCCAAGGGCCTTGTTGTCTTTATCCCTCAGCTGGTTTGGAAGTTTTAGAATTCTGTCTTCTTCTGTTGACTCTACTGACTCACCATCACCAGGCTTCCAACTTTCTTCTGACCGAATCCAGTGCTTCAAGAAAAACCCTCCAGCTCTTAAGATCTCCTCAACACCTTCGGTTATTTTGTCCAGCTGTTTCCGATCATTGTGGGAAGTCAGAATATCATCCACATAACTATCCTCTTCGATGACTTTGCGCTCTTCATGTAGATGAGAAAACTTAGTCAGCTTTGCAGTTTCACGCATGGCCAACTGTGCAATGCACCCTGCCGGTCGATCACCGATGTTAACTCTGGTGATTGCATATTCTCCTATTTCTTCACTCTGATCATCTCTCCACAGAAACCTATGTAGATGCATTTCTTTCTCCTCCAGCCATACAGAGTTATACATCTTCCTGATATCTCCAAGGACAGCATACACTCCTCTCCTAAACCTCAGAAGTACAGCTCTGATTGGATTAAGAAAATCTGGGCCTTTCAGAAGAAGATCATTCAAACTTACTCCTCTAAATTTCTGACTGCTGTTCCATACCAAGCGCACTGGAGTCGTAACGGAGTGAGGATTTGGTGCAATCAGGTGACTCACATACCATACTGGTCCATTCCAGGAATTAATTGCATCTTCAGTGAGCTTGATTGCTGCTCCGCGTTCCACCATTTCATGAATTTGAGCTGTATAAGCGACTTTCCACTCTGGCTCCCTCTTGAGCTGCTTTTCCGTTCTCAAAAATGTTGCCTCTACTCCACTTCTATTATTGGGAAGGGAAGCTGGATTTTCAGTCCAGGGATATTTTGCGTGCCAATGAGGAGACTTGCTGTGAGCATCATTCTCTAGATAGGTAAGACACCCTTTTATAATTTCGAGTTCTCTCTCCTCTACCAGTGTCATCTCCTTACCACCTGGCTGACAGTTCCCACAGCGACAAGCTCCACACATCGGTTCACAAGCTGCCCCTATGCTGTCCCACTTCCACCATTCCAAGAACTCACGGTTGCTAACAGCTGCAATGTTTGTCTCAGCTCTGGTTTCTTGGGGTAGTTGGACTGACTTGGACATCTCTTGCATTTCAATTCCTCCCACTTCCTCTTCATATTTTACAGCAGCTGTTCTCATGGAGCGAGCAAAATGGGTTTTGGACTCATATGCAGATAGGTTAATCTCTTCAAATAAGTCTGGATGAGCGCCACCTACTGTTTTTCCCAAAGGACTGTCCCATAAGACAAGATCCCCCACAACCTTCACTCGTTGTGGGGCTAATCTCCCTTCTCGATGGCTAATAAGAAGTTCAATCTCTTTAGGTCTTACCAACTCTTCAAGCTTGACTTCAGGAAAGAATCTCTGCAATTGCTTAGGTTTTATGACCTTGTGCACTTTAGCAATTTCATCCAAGCCGTAACAAAGAAGCTCATGTGCTCTTTCTTTGTCCTCTTCAGTCTTTATTCTGACTCGAAGCAGATATCGCTTGGTCTTCACCTTGATGGCCATTCCAGCAACTCCATGCACTATCAGTGTGACATCTTCGCTCCTTAACCTCAAGCGTCCTGCAGCCTTGTGGGTTATATAGTTAGTATCTGATGCAAGATCTACCAAAGTTCCAACCCTCTGCCCCGCATTGGCGGTTACTTCCATGAGCATCATGATGACAGGTAGTTCTTGTACCCCACTTTCCTCTAGAAGGCCAACTTGGGTTTTTCCCGTGCGGGTCACTGTTGCAGCTTTGTTGGTGAAGGCATTTCTGCACCGCTCAGCAAGCTCTGGGGAAAGTTCAGCTAAAAGTTCCTCCTGCTCCGCTGTAAGCATATTTACTTTCCTGCTATCATTTAAAAACCTTTTCTCAGTGCCAGTGGTGGATTCTCTTCTTGGACAGATGAAATAATGATGATCTGGGGCATTTTCTCTTCTGCAATCTCTATTTTTACACAAGAATGTGTCTCTACAGTCTGCGTTACCTTCATGACATCCAAGGCACTTCTTACATGCTCCAATCTTCTTCAGAGCAGCTTTCTTTTCAGCTAGCTTTAGCTCCTTAAATTTTTTACAGAAGAAAATTTTGTCCTTATGATTTACAGCTCCACACACAGTACACCCACCATCAGAATCTTTCTTCGTGGATTTTGTAGATGCATACCTCCTTTCAAATCTATTTTCAGATTTATCTACCTTTTCTGTGACTCTGAGCTGTTCAAGCTTCTCAAGAACATCTTCCTGTCTTCTTAAAAACTCCAACAGGAGGTCAAAGTGATTTTCTGGAGTCACACCATTGTTAGGGTCAATCATGAAGAAAAGCCAGTCTCTTTTCACAAATTCAGGCAGTTTACTCTCAATAGACTTGATTACAAGAGGGTTCTTAATTGCACCAATGTTCCCCAGATCTGTCAGGTCAGATAGAGCTTTTTCTACAGTTTGGATCAAGTCTATCACTTTTCTGGGTTGATTGCCCTTCACACTCGGAAATCTTTCCAGTTCTTCAATAATTTCCATGGCAATTGTTACCTTGTTGCCAAATCGATTTTCCAGCACTCGAAACACATCCTCTCCGTTGCTGTAACTTGACAGCCTTAGGTCCTTAACGATTCTTTCATCCAAACTGTCCAGGAGCTGGATTTTCTTGACCTCTACTGATCCAGTTGGTTCACCTTGTTTTTGCAAACTTTCCCAGTCCTTCTTCCAACGGAAGAAATCTCTTTTCATACCACCAAATCTAGGCAAACTTGTTGGTCTTATCCTCACAACTGGTATAATTGGCACTGTTTGAAGACCTGTGTTTGGGTCTAAAGGACCTGCAAATTGAGAACTTCTTTCAGCATTACGTGCAGTAATAAACTCGCTATTTCTTGAAACAAGTCCATTATTCTCTACTTTTAACCTCTTTACTCTGCTCTCAAAGTCCTTCTTCTCTCCTGTAGGAATCCATCGCTCCCAGCTGGATAGTGTTTTGACTGCTCTACTCACAAGCTTTTCCATGTGAATTAGATGAACTTCATATCCTTCACAATTGACACCAGCAACAGGTATTGAAGCAGAATGATCACAAGCTTTCTCAGCTTCCTGGACTGCAACAGTCAATTCCTCTTGGCCATACCTCTGCCACAAGTTGATTTGGACGATTTTTCGCACCTCTTCGAGCTTTGTCTCACAATCATTAACAGTCTTCTCAATATCTGCTACCTGCTGCATTTCAAGCTCCACTTTCTCATCACTCTTTGCTTTAGCTTCCAGCTCTGCCAGCAATCCCATGTTATAGTCATCATTTGCATCAAAAAGTGCTCTTGCACTAGAAGAGAGTTTCTGGAATTCCTTCCTGAGTTCAGACTCAATCATTTGGCTTGACTCTCGAATGAGAAGATTGGCTTGCTTTGTAACACACATCTTTGCAGTGGTTCTCTCTCGCTTAAGTTGGTCCACTGTTTTCCCCAAAGCTTCTTCTGCCATCTTGTTTCAAGTCACAAAGATACGTCTTCTTAAACACCTCAATTTACTGATGACTTGTTTTGACAATGTTGATTCCTTCACACCACCTTTACTTTCTGGACCATCGGAAGCCTTTAATCTTCTTATCCACAAGCGCTGGTTATTAAGTGTCAAGTTATCTGGGTTTTTCTTTGCCTCAATGTCTGCCCAAACTTGACAAAGGCCTCAATCAACTCTGAAGGTGCATGGAATAACTCAAACCATCTGGTTCTTCATCATAGAAGCAGTTTATTGAAAATCTCTCATCATTGACTAGATCTTCTTTTGTACTTGTCTCAATGATAATTCCAGAAGGTTAGCTTAATAACCTACACAGAAACAGATATGTGATACGAATCACTACAAAGTGCAACAAAAGTACAAACACCATTGTCAAACATTCACAATTTACACAGCAACTCAACAGCAATGTAAATAAAGAAGCTTGTTATGCAGTTAGAAAGTAAAATGCTAAGCTACTAGCATTAAACACCTTTCAAACATACACAAAATATGTAGTCATTAAATAAAAATAAGTCTTTGTCCTACCAGTTGCATCTCAAAGTTGATGAAACATTGTGGCTTTTCAACAGTCTTTCTCCTTTGGTATTTTGAACACCAAAACCCACCAAATTCAGTAGGAGAAGCACATTTACTGCAAACAAAGTTCCCTCTTGCTCCCAGTAATCACACACCTGGTGGAGTTTGGAGATGTGGAGTTTCAATGACCAATCAGCTACCTTGATTCTCCCAGGTTGCACCATGTGCTCCCAACCAATAGGCTGCACTCATTTTGATCTTAAATCTTCTTTACCAATGATGAATTTATACTTTTTAACCATGTCTCTTTTTTTTCCTTTTTTTTTCTTTCTCTCAAATTCAATATAACAGGTCTTGTTTACAAAGCAATCCTCAGTGAAATGAAGTAAACAGACGGACAATTTTTTACCTCATCAGCTGGAACGCCATTAAAAATAAAGTTTATCCATGCAGTCCTATTGGAATCCAGAGGAAGCATATGCAGGGACTATCTTCTTCCACAAACAGGCACTGCACAATATTTTGTATTGTTCAGTAGCTCAATCCGGTTTGTCATCACGAGATAGGCCTATGTTATTTAGCTATGCGTGTAATGCGCAAATCGGTGGGCGGGACTAAACCTGCCGTGTTGAAGTAGATGTTGATCTTCTTCTGCGGGGGTGGTGTTTTATCCTCTTTGTCGTCATAGTTCCCCACTTTGAAAAACGAGTCGTATGTTGAGCCTGGTGTCAATAAAAGCTTTTATTGGACTAACAAGGACGTTTTCAGTTCTGAAACTTACAGGATACTCTTATAATAAGATGATGACCTCTTAGATGTCAAAAGCTCAAGGAAAATTTGATTTCTCAGTTCATCACATCACCCCTTTAAGACTGGATGATAAAATCCATATTGCGTAATAGCATTTAGTTTAATTAATTATCGAGAGAGAGACAGAGAGATGTGTATGTGCTGTATTTTATATTAAAAGTCACAGGGCAGCGTTGATAACAACTTTCTCTGCTCCTGAATGTTTCTGTTTGCACAGCACAATCTCAGAGTGACGTATGCGTCTGTATGCTTCCATGTGTTCCATCTTTAGAAACAGTTTTATTGCACACCTTTCAGCCAATCAGAATCAAGTATTTAGACAGACCCTTGCATAATACAGGCCTACAAATAAGCACAGCAAACAGCAAATACATTTTTCCCCCCAAAGTGTGCAGCCCTATATTATGGAAGCCACATATCACAATTACCTTTTTTATTTATTTATTTTTTATTCTGTGGCAGGAATAAGCTTCCATACAATACTGTAGTGTTGGGAAGTGACACCCTCTGGTGTACTGCAGTAAGAACAGACTCCATCCACTGCATCCAGTTAAGTTCTTTGTGGCATTGATTATGGTGTTATGTTAATTGATTTGCTCTGTGTGTTTGTTGAACAGGGTACATTTCTTCCTCATCCTGGAGGGACTCTACCGTCCACTGTGCCAAGTAAGACTCCTTCAGCCAGTATATCTCTTTACAACCTCTCCCTCATTCTGCATATCCCAAATACTGAGGAGGGTTTCATTAAGAAAAAGAAAGTACACTTCAACATGAAAAAGAAGAAACTTTTTTTGATAACAAATTTATTAGAGGTGCAAAACTTGACTAACGTTTCGATGTAAAACTACATCTTCATCAGAGTCCTGGTTCTGATGACGATGTAGTTTTACATCGAAACGTTAGTCAAGTTTTGCACCTCTAATAAATTTGTTATCAAGAAGATTTTTGCACCGGTGATTCTCCCTTTCTGTTTGGTCTTGTCCTGCCCTGGTTGCACCGGATCGTTTGGCAATTTACAGAAGTGCAGTAAGCCTTCCTTTTCATATATATATATATATATATATATATATATATATATATATATATATACACACTATTTAAGTTAAATATATACTTAAATATATTTGCAATTATACACTTGTAATGATGATGTTGCAATTTAGTACATTTAAAATATATTAACTTTAAATATATCCATCACCACACTACAGTTAAAATTATAATCAAGTATATTACATGTTCTTTAGTATGTTACTCAATACATCAAAATAAGTGTACTTCTTTGAAACATGACAGAAGATTATTAAAGCAATGATTTAAAATGAATGTTAAAGTACACTTTTTATTTGACATAAACCGTTTTTTATGTTAAAAAACAGTCATAAAAGTGTTCTCTCTTTAAGTGCACTTAAGTGGCCTTTTATTTTTATTAATATTCTTTTATCTGTAGATATAGTATTTTAAGATTTGAAGTGCACATTCAATAGAATTAAGTGCACTTTTTTTTCTCAAGGGTCTGGAAACGTTTCGGTTACTAATGGTAACCCTCGTTCCCTGAGGAAGGGAACGGAGACGTAGGTCATGACTGACCAATAGGAATCTCGCTAGAGAGGCCAATCTACTTCGAGTGAAACTAAAACAAGCCAATGCACACTGGCATGCAATTATTTGCATCAGCTGCGCAGCCTCATTAGCGTGGTATAACAAGCAGCTGCTGCAATTGCACTTCAGCTTTTTGCTGAAGAGCCAAGCCTGATCAGCTGGCCGCCTCGGCGAGTGAAAGCAGATGTGGCGACGGGATCTACGTCTCCGTTCCTTCCCTCAGGGATTGAGAGTTATCCACCCGGTGAGTGCCGTGATGCCACGCCCACCTCGGGACTCGGCCATAAAGCCAGTGCTGAAGCAGTCTCATATGAAGCAAGCCGAGTGCAATTACCGCCGCTGCCATGTGCCCCAGGAGCCTCTGAAAAAATTTCAGTGGGACCGCCGTCGTGCCTTTGAATGTGTTCAAACAGTTCAGCACCGACTGAGTGCTCTGATCTGTGAGGCGCGCTGTCTGTGCGACCGAATCCAAATCCATACCGAGAAAAGAGATTCTACACGGGGGCAGTTTGCTCTTTTCCCAGTTGACCTGAAGACCCAAGTGGATGGCCCGAAACTTGGGGGGACAACCGGGTGAACTGAATCACATAGCCGAGGCTGATGGTCCGAATGAGCCAGCGAGACGGACTGGGGAGCCCACCGTATCCTAGAGAGTAGTTCCGTCCATCTCTGGGTTGCCCATCCTGGGGCCACTTACTTCTGGCTTTGCCGCCCTTCTTGGTGGGGGCCTGGACGGGAGGGGTGGCCTGCCTGCGATTGGCTCTATGGCGTCGTTTAGGTGGAGTCAGAAGCCTAGCAAGGGCAGAAGTAGGAGGACACCCCCGGCGACGAGCAGACTGAGGAGCCGCGGGCGGTGGGGTGGAGGCAGCAGCTGACCGCTGCGGTAGGATGTGTCTAATGGACTCAGTCTGCTTCTGTAAAGCCGAGAACTGCTGGGGGAAGTTCTCGACCGCGCCACTGAAGAGGCTGGTCTGGGACATGGGGGAGTTAAGGAACCGGAGCTTGTCGGTCTCCATCATGTCGGCCAGACATAGCCAAAGATAGCGTTCCTTTACCACTAGTGTGGACATCTACCGGGCGGAACCTTCGTCACACGAAGCGCGAGGTCCGTTGCGGCACCGAGTTCCTGGAGAACTTGTGGATTGTGACCACCCCTGTGCAGCTCCCTCAGTGCCTTGGCCTAATGGACCTGCAGCAACGCCATAGCGTGCATGGCAGAGGCAGCTTCCCCACAGGCCTTGTAAGCCTTGTCGAATAGGTCAGACGAAAACCTACAGGCCTGGAAAGGAAGACACGGTTCTCTGCGCCAAATGGAGTTTGGGCACAGCTGCATAGCGGCGCCCGCTCCACTGGCGGGACACACGTGTATCCATTAGCTGCCCTGCCATCAAGGCTGGTGAGGGAGCAAGAGCCACCGGAACGGTTTCTGGCACTGAAAGGTGCCATCCACGTCCCTGTGAGCTCCTCATGCACCTCCGGGAAGAAAGGCACTGCAGTGGGTTGCTGAGAACCAGCATGCACCACCCCGAGATACCAATCAACCAGCCTCGAGGGCTCGGGACACGGTGGCGGGTTCCACTCGAGCCTGACCCTGTTGGCGGCCCAGGAAATCATGGCCATCATCTCTGGGTTCAACTCAAGCCCCGTTCACACCGCCAGCGATTTTGTCGCTGTGTGTCGCTAGGCTCTGTACTGTGATGTCGCTTGTGGGCGTTCGTAGTGCTGTCGCTCTTGTGTTATTGGTAGACTGCATGTCTGGCCATGTCTATACAAAAGACCATCACAAGTGATATATATTTTTAATTTGACTGGGAATAAATTACTTTTAAGGCTAAAAAGAAACCATATGCTGTTGGGAGAGTGTTTTTACAGTATATCTCCACAGCTGTGTTCAGTGGATCAAATCATTTACTAGATCAACGATCGATCAATGAACAAACGTTAAATGTATGAATTAAACTCACTGAGACTGTCGACAGTTTCTTTTCCATGCATCATTTTTTTATCCATGTATGTGGTTACAGTCAAATCATATAAAACAGTGCAATCGTCCTCAAACTCTTTCTTTCTGTCTTGCCTGCACTGCACTCGAGACGGTGACGTGAGCTGAGCTCCACTGAAAGTCTTCTTTCCTATTGGTTGTCGCTCGCGAAAATCGCTTCTCATTTGCATAAAGTAGAAAATTCTCAACTTTTGTCGCTTGTCTCTTGTCGCTTGACACGCCCACATTCTGTCGCCAACGGTCACTGTTGCTCGTGTCGCCGGATGTCGCCAGCGCTCCATTGAAATGAATGGGATCTTGTCGCTTTGTCGCTGCGTGTCGCTGGCGGTGTGAACGGGGCTTCAGGCACCGCTGGCACACCCGGAGGAGGCAGCGGCTCTGAGCCGTTGTCCGCGGAGATGTCTGACCCACTCTCCGATGTAGCGATCGACAGAGAGAGCAAGAGAGAGCAAGCATCAAACCTTCACCAAAGGAAATGACTGGTACACATCTCGAGGATGGTCCAGCACGTTCAGTTCGTATCTCAAATGGCTGCAGAGTGTGAGAGTCAAATGGGTCTCCTGTGTTACTGCCTGAAGGCAGATGCATGGGGACTCCGCCCTTTTGCAGGAACGGGAGACTCGACCACAGCTCCAAGATGGTCATCTTCCCACAATGGGTACATGACTCATCCACGAACGCTGCCTCAGCGTGTTCGAGGCTCAGACACACAAGGCAGCGATCGAGACCATCCCATGACCCCAGGTAACGACAACATCCAGAAACACACGGATAGAACGTCAAACTATCTGTGTAAGCTCTTTTAGAGATTTCTCTCCTTGGTGCTGGAGCATGCAGGGGAATGGTCACCGCAAACACAAACAGGAATGTGCACCTGTCTGTGCGCTGTTCTCTCTCACTGGTCTTACCAGCCGTGAAAATGGCTGTTGAGCGCTCTCACCGCACACCTTACCAGCTGTCAAAACAGCCTTTATTGTTTTTTTGCTCAGTTTTAAAACAAACAAAAAAAAACGAAAAACAAAAAAGGGAAAAGACAAGAGAAGACTGCTCGCGCTGCTGTGCTGTCACGCCCGCACCAAAGTGGAGAGATCCAGAAGAGGCTTGCAGATTCACTCTGTGTAGTCAGCATTCGAAGTGCTTGGCTCTGAAGTGCAATTACAGCGGCTGCTTGCACTTACGAGGCTGCGCAGCTGATGCAAATGATTGCACGCCAATGTGCATTGGCTTGTTTTAGTTTCACTCGAAGTAGATTGGCCTCTCTAGCGAGATTCCTATTGGTCAGTCATGACCTACGTTGTAGTGACTGACCGATAGGGAACCTCGTGTATTCATTAAGTAATTCACAGCACATTTTAATATAAATAATATAAAATTAATATAAAGTGAGATTTATATGTGAGGAAAGTACAGACACGCTCTCAAAGCAACAGGTGTTACTTCAGCAGGTGACTATTCAGCCACTCCCACTGGACCAGCCACCAATCAGGAGCCAGTGGAGATCAGCAAGTTATCTTTGACCAATCAGGATCCATGGAAGCCCTTTTCTAAACATTCACAGACCAATGATGAGCGATCTGAGGGATACATTTCCTGTCTGTCTGATCTACTGGCACACTACAATCCTGCTGGGAAATCAGTCAGTAGCAGCGTTTATGAGGCAATGTCATCATCCAGATGCACCGTTCAGACAGTACACACTGTCCTCTATGAGAACTGCCTCCAGTGCAGGAAAGGAGAGGGAAACTGCCGGCTGCTTAAGCTCACGCCTCCATCCAGAATTTTTGTCCAGGATCAGAGCAGAGAAATGAGTAGAAACAATTCGAACATCCCAGAGTCGGTCTGCTCTTCCATTGAGTATCCCAGTAGGCCAGTCTCTCTGCAACGAATACCTGAAGAAGGTAAGAGAACGTCGACCCCAAACCTTTCACAGTGGACTTTGTCTCATCTCTAACCCAACTCTTTTTGACGACTAAATCTTCTCTTCCTCATCACTCCAGAAATCTCTGTCTAATCGTATTAATAATTAGCTTTAATCTTCTGCAAAACCTATCTATATTGTTGTTTTCCATCTGTCGTCTTTGAGGATTTGAATGGGTGAAGAATACGATACAAGTTCGATACAAGGTTGATGTCGGAGATGCATGTTGTCAAGATAAGTTGTTTCTGACTTCTGAGCTAAAATGCGATTTAAAACACGACACAGGATTTATCCAATGTAACATTTTTTTTTATCATTTTCAAAACTTACATTTCAACAAAACATAATGTTAGAGAACAAAAACACTTATCATTAAAAAAAAAAAAAAAAAAAAAAAACACTGGAAGAGAGCGCAAGCATCAAGCTAGGTCAGAAAAGCGCATTTCTTTCCATAAAAAGAAACTTACTTAGTTACTTTTTATGGAAAGTAATACATTATTTTTCTTACCTCTAAGTAGTTATTTTTTTATTGTAATGCAATACTTTTAATAGTAACTTTTCCCAACAATGGTATTTATCCATAATACAAATAAAGACATCATCTAGCTCCTTATTGTCAGAAACATCATAGTGAAAAGAATAAAGCTCTAACATGACATGACAAACTGACTACAGTATATGTATTACAAGGGTAATACATGATGAATAATTTTGAAATAGACTTATTTTATTATTAAACAATAAATTATGGAGCGCTGTCCATAATTACCTTTCGTGTTGAGTGCTAACCATCTGTCATTAGTTTTAATAATTGAATTGTTACTAGCCGTGATTAATTTATCAAAAAATAATTTGTACATTTTAGGATCCAAAATACTAACTTCTTGTAAATTGTTGAGGGAGATTCCAACTCATATTGTGGTGTATTTTGTAAGATTTCACCAAGAGCAACAAATTGGAAGGAATATGTGTTAGATAAATATAATCTATATTTGATATACCTGTAACTCATAGTCTGTCACTGTCTATAAGAACTTCACTGTTGAATCTCTCAGAGCTGATATGTGTGATCAAGATGGTTAATAAAGTTGAACCAAGATCAATAATGTTCTAATGTGTATTTGGGATGCTTTTATATCTAAAGTTTGGGAAATACTAATTAAATATTACATTTATATTAAGGCCAGTATCATTGCCGAAATTATAAATCAATATGCTTTGACTGTTTTTTAAAATTACTTTCATCATTCAAGGTCCGAAACATATTTTATGCAAATGTGTTAATGCAAGCACTTCATAATAATTCATAATTGAACAGAAGTACACAATTTCACATGGAGCCTTAGATATGTTCCTCTACACTTGTGAAAAAGAAGTACTCATGTGCCCTTGTAGTGTACTTTATCATAACACTTTTTTTTTAAACTGCACTTGCAGATAATATAATGTTGATGAAATAAAAGGCCACTAATGTGTACCTAAAGAGAGAACATTTTTAAAAACTGCACTTTGTAATTATGTCAAACTAAAAGGTTTACTTCAAAGTACATTTTTAAATGATTGTTTTAAATATATTTTGTCATGCTTTAAATTGCTTTTTATTTCATCTAATTTTCGTTTTAAACAATACATTTACATTTAATTGTAGTTAACGTGCATTAAAATAATTTTCAACCTCTTTGAACTGAATGTAAAGTATATTATTTTCATAATAAGTACTTTTTTAAAGTTAATGTTTAAAGTTGAATAATAAAACCACTAGTTTACTTTTTTATTTATTTATTTTTTTACAATCGCTAACACACATTTCTCAATACTTAAGTCACTTTTTAAAAACTCTTTACACTGAGCACAACTTAAAAAAAAAAAAAAAAGCAAACATGTGCAAATTGGCCTGTAGGTATATCGAGTTTTGGTGGTGGTCGTGTTTAAGTGAGAAGGTTTTTTTTTTGTTTGTTTTGTTGTTGTTTTTTGTCATTTGAAAGATATAGTCATTGAATGCATTTTGTCCCATAGCAATAATAAATAATCCACAGTTTAGTACCCATAAACTGCTGTTGTGATCACTGTTTGAAGAGTTCTAAAAAAGTGACCTAAGTATTGAGAATTGTGTTCTAGTGATTATAAAAAGAAATTATAGTGCTTTAATATTGTTGTGTTTCTTTTTTGGTGGCATGAAACTAAGCATATGTGTACGTAAACAGACCTGCATGCTTCTCTTCTGTTTGCACACCTTCTGACCAAAATCTACAGTGTATTTTCATGCAAATCAGCAAATGAAAACACAATTTAAAGAAGACAAAACATACCCGTGTCACTCATACTGTATATTCTGACCTTGTGCTATGATTATCGTGCAGATAACAAAGAGAGAATCTGGGGTGAAAAGGGAAGAACAGATCCTGCCTATGAAATTATGGATGGTCGAACAACAGAGAGGAGCCCAGAGGTGAAGATATTCCTTTTGAATTACATTTGATAGAAGTGTGCAAAATACAATTAACACACCTGTGCTCGATTAACCCTTTAATGCACAACTGATTTTTAAAAGAGTGTTGTGTCTTCTTATAAGGGCCAAGGACTACAGACGCTAGGTCAGAATTTCTTGAGACCAGTGTTGTTATTGTCAACTAAAACCAAAACTATTTAAAGCTGAAATAAAATTAAATATAAATATTAGATGAAAATGGATTAACCAAAATAAAATAATAAGTTAAAAATTTAATAAGTATAAGTTGAAGTTATTCATGAGTATGTTAGTTTCATTGTGTTTTGCTTTGATTCTCATCTGTTCTTTTTTGCCTGGTTTCCCAATCCTTGATTGTTTATATGGTTACTGATTATGTTTCACACCTGTCTCTAGTTTTGTTGATTAGCCTCCTTGCGTGTTACCTTTTGGATTTATTATTAGGTGGCTTTCACACTGGCAGTTTAGTTCGGAACGGGGCACGGTTCGCATAAAAAATCGCTAATGTGAACGCTATCATGGGACCTGGGTGCGCACTGGGGTACCGAACCCGAGATTACCTGGAGGAGGTGATCTAATTTGGTTGCGTCCGAACCGTGCCGCGGTTCGCGTGAATGTGAAAGCAACACGGATTCGTGCGCGCACTTAGTAAAAGTAAAAGGAAGTAAAGTATCATGCGCATGCGTTTTAGCTTATTGTGATGTATTCAGTTAAATAAAACACTTGTAAGGGATGATAGTGTTGATGATTTACCTCGGATACGAGCGAGAATGTGTATTCGTGCATTGCGCGTAGAATCAGAGCAACACATTTGGAAGTCCACTGTCTCCTCAAAAGAGTCTGTTTGCAAGCAGCAGAAGTCCACCTTATGTGACACACGCACAGTAAACCTGTATTGTTCACTCAACTGCTCATAATAGCAGCAAATTTATTAAAAAAACCCACAATATTTACCCACGTTCTGCTTTCTATCATGTGCTGTACACGTTTGCGATGATGTAATATGCACGCAAACGCACCAGGGTTCGATAGAATTAAGTTGAGTGTGAAACCAGACCAACGCTGCGGGGGGCGTCGGGAACAAGTGCGCTCGGGCTCGGACCGCAGCAAACGAGCCCAGTGTAAAAGTAAGTAAGTAAGTAAGTAAGCCTTTATTGTTCACAGTTGTGCATTACTCTGCTTGTCAGTGGCACGGTACTACAACATTGCTTGTTTAATGACTCCACCTTCTCATAGAATGCAGTGTGTTTTTGTATAAATGGACACAAACTGCCAGCTTACTCCAAACATGCAAATGATTTATCTTTTGAAACAAATGAACTTTCCCACTTGAGAATTGCACCTTTCTCCTTGGTCAAGCCAAAACTCAAAGGTGGGACCTATAGGGAACTTTAGAAGTTCCTTCGGCGCTCTCTCTGGTTTCTGCTCCTGATTGCTGTTCAGGTGAAACCTCATCTGGCCTTACCTCAACATACATCGAGCCATGTGTACCTTTCTCGACCATAACAGTGTCAACTTACTCCACAAGTTCACCATCGCTTCTTCATTTAACTCGGAAGAAATCGATTACAACTTCAGCACCATCGGACCGAACCATCAAGACTTTCTCCTCGCGACTGTATATTCGGGCACTCTTAAACAGCTAAGGCAAATGCAAGTATCGTATGATATACTAATTCGCTGTTTAGCTAAAGTTGTGAAGCCCTTTGCTAACAAAGTAGCTTTGTAGTAAGGCACTGTTAAGTAAGGCTAAATGACTCTTTTCATACTGTAGCTTCATTCCTCTGTTCTGTTCCGGTTTTTCAGCCACTTTCACTTTCCATTCCCATGTATGTGTGATTGTGTGTATGTGTTTTAGATTAGTTAAGTGTTAGGGATTCAGTTAAATAAATCTTTTGTGCACATTTAAGTTCATTCTGGTTTGGATAAAATGATCCAGGCCAATGTCAATTTTACGATTAGGATCACAGTTGCATGCTAAGACAGTTTTCTGTGGCCAAGGAAAATATCCTTCCTGAAGAGTTGATAGACTGTCAATTAATTGATTGTAATATTAAGTCAGTTACATGAAATTAATTCAATTAAAGGAGCCATATGTAAGATTTTGGCCAAAATTGGTACTGCAATCACTTTATCTGCAATTACTGTAGAGCGGTGTATCCCCTCCCCCCTGACTCAAGGTTCCCAGGCTGCATGATCCAATTTTTTTTTTTAGCCGACACGTTTGTATCTGCAGCTGTGGTAACTAGAGCAGAGCTGGCAACCCGGAATGTTGCAACACTACTGACTTTGTGATTGGTAGATTGGTGGAGGGTGGAGCATCTGACCAAAACACAACATCAACATCAGTTGAGGGCTGCAACTTCACTTTTTAAATGACAATATCCTGGCTGGACTCCTGTTGTCTGTGATATAATTATTTGAAATGAACATGATTTCTTAATGTCTAGTGACATATCAGGGCCATTTTATGATTATTTGAAATACATTTCTTACATACAGCTCCTTTAACTGATCCAAATATTTATAATGAATAACGAGTTATGATTAATTATTCATATTTCCCTTTTGAGCTAATTTGCTACATAGACAAGATTTGTGCTGCTGAAATAATATGGATTTACCTGTTATTTCTGCCACTGAGGATAAGCTGTGCCTGTCCTCATTAATGTTGTTTGAGGAATTATAAGAGGTAAATCCCCAAAGCCTATCTATCCCGCCTCCTCTACATAAGAGTAGAAGTTCTCCTGTCCCACCTCTGCTATCTCCATTAAATTTCTTGGCTCCACTCGGCTGCATGGATCTGCCTCGGGTCTTAACTTCACCTCAGCCCATCGACCTGTCGACTCCACATGAGACCCTCGTCCTTGTGGCTCCACCGACTCACTCATCCCTCCGGTTTTGCCTTGGTCAGTCATCACTCTGCTTAGGCCACGGACTTCCGAGCCTTCGGCTGCATTTTGTCCCTCCAACCATTCGGCTCCGTTGGGCTCCGCCTTCCCTCTGGCTCCACCTTGGTCAGACTGGCCGTGCCTCAATCCTCCAGCATTCTGACTTCACTTCAGCTGCTCTACCTCACCACTGCTCCACCTTGTCCTCCAGAACCTGCAGTGTCATTCCGTTTCTGTCTCCGCCTGGGTCTCCAACTCTCCTGGCTCCACCATTGGTGGTCGGATCTCTGACTCCACCCTGGCTCCTCCTACCATCGGTTCCACTGTGGGCATTCATGGCTGTGCTCTGGGTCATCAAAATCTCCTCTCTGGCACCTATAGTACTTCCATTGTCTCCTCCATGGTGGTTTCCTCTGTCCTTTTCCCCTCTCCAGAACCCCCACCCATAATTGACTGTATTTATGTAAATACTCACAAAGACATATTTGCGATAATTATACACAATAAGCACAGTTGTGTACAAAAAATTACACAATAAGCACAGTTCACGTTAACAAAACAAAATACTCTTTCCGCTGCTTTCAGCTGTTCTTTCCACCTCAAAGGTCTCGATAGGGCGTTGTGCATGAGTTCCCAGGCTCTCTCTCTCCTCTCTCTCTCGCACCGGCCTGTTTTATGCAGTCTCCCACGCCAATTACTGCAATCAGAGACAGGTGTTCTTCATTTTGCACTGGGGAGGATCCCCGGGGCGGCGCTCGTGGTGCAGCAACTGGCTCGGGTGCCTGGCCGGACCTCCATCGGGGCGCCGGTCGTGGGGGAAAGCCGCCTCGGGACCTGGGAGCAGGGACAGGGCGAGGGAGAGAGACTGAAGGAGGGGAAGAGAGAGAGAGAAGATGCTGGGAGGGGTTCACCGACCCCAGGGCACGCCATCATCTGGTCCTCCGCCAACTGGATGGTCTGGTCCAGCTACGTCGGGCGGTGGCACTGGACCCACGAACTGCTCCAGTACCACCAGATTGACAACTCACTCGACGTCATGGTCTTCGGCCACCGACTACCTGCGGCACGCGTCCCGCAGTTGCTGCGTGAGGACGAAGGGTCGGCTGGATTCCCCGAGCTCCACGGACCGGAACTGATGGGGTCTGGCCGACCCGCTGCAGGATGGCGTGTTTTAGGTCGTCGTAGACCAGGAGGTTCCGGACTGGTAGTTGTTGGGAAGCAATCTGTGCCTCTCCGGACAGCAATGGGATCAGCCGCATGGGCCAGTCTGCGGGCGGCCAGTCCCAAGCCACGGCCGACCTCTCTAAGAGGTCCAGGAAGGCCTCCGGGTCGTCCTGGGGACCCATCTTGTGGAGAGGCATGGCTGGGGCTGGTGATGGTGAAGCTCGAACCTCCCGGTCCAACCAGCTCCGGAACTGCTCACTGTCCTCCTCCTGGGCCCTGAGGAGCACCTCGAAGCAATGCTCCTGTTGCTTCTCCATGGCCAGCAGAGCTTGATGATGTTGCTGGTGGAGTCCCGCGAAGCGCGTGGATGACGTCCGCAAGTGGAAATGGGGACTGTCTGGTGGCAGCCTCTTCTTCCATCCCAGGTTTCGGCACCAGTGTGAAGATGTTGTTGGCTCAGTGTGAGAGTGATAGAAGAAGACAGGGGGATCGGCGAATACTGGGACTCGTGCACTTTATTAATACACAATAAGCTCAGTTCACGTTCACAAAACAAAATGTTCTTTCCGCTGCTTTCAGCTGCTCTTTCCACTTCAAAGGGTTCTGTCTCGATAGGGCGTTGTGCACGGGTTCCAAGGCTCTCTCTCTCCTCTCTCTCTCTCGCACCGGCCTGTTTTATGCGGCCTCCCCACGCCAATTACTGCAATCAGAAACAGGTGTTCGTCATTTTGCACTTGACCTACTTACTGGCCACTTGGCTCCGTCCTCGCTCTCCCGCTACAGACTTCACTGAACCACTCCCCCCTCGCCACAGTCCCCATGCATGAAAGAAAGACACATGATAAAGATAAAGATACATAATATAATATGGCCAGTCAGCACAGCCATCAAGTAGGCATTCATTGCAGTATTTTAACATTATTACGAGGACATGAAAGATCACAATCTCTTCGATTCGCTTGAGATGTAGATCGTGGACGTCTTCAAGTTCGATGACGATTTAAAATCATCAGATCGCCTACCCCTAGTCACAAGTATGTTCGGTTTTTTGTGTTTTGATTTGGTTCGGTTCGGTTCAGTTCCTGTTTGCCTGAGTAACCATAGAAACAAACAAAGATCAGGAACAGTTTGTAATGCAGATCTCTTGTTCTGTTGATTATTCTCCTTGTGCATTTAATCCCCTAGTTCCCTTTATTCAGTGTTTGGTTTTGTCTTAGTTTAAATGTGGTTGTGCTATTCTGTTTTCTGGTTGATCTGCTGCGTGTTACCTTTTGGATTTAATGTTAAAAACTGTTTGTTGGTCTTCATCATTGTGCGCTCATCACACCCACATGGTCTAATGTCAATAGTAATTAGCATTTTAAAATTAGCTTTTACCTGCATGCAATGAAAAAAGAAACATTGATATTTTTTCCTTCATTTAATGACTTATGCATCAAAGGTTTAAGCGATACAACTGAATACATAAATACAACTAAATGCCACATGCAACAGTGTGTTATTAGCAGACTGTCACCTGAAAACTGCATTTGTAAAGCATGGCTGAACCTGTATAGACAGGTTACAGATTAAACTGGTGTGGACATGTTACTTTTAAACAGGAACCGGGACTAATGAAGGTGTGTTTTTCCATGGATGAACATATTCTCTCTCTTTCTGTGACAGTTGGAGGAGGAGAGCAGGTTTGAGCTCATAGACAGCTGTGCTGCTTCACAAAGGGTGTCTCGTCATCTCACTGAAGGTGAACTCACTTTGCCTGAGGTCTGTGGTGTTTTCTGTTGATGTGTTTGTGTTTTTGATGTGGGTCTGATCTGTGCGTTTCAGGTGGAGTGTTTGCGTTTGGAGTGGACGGATCAGTGGTGACAGACAGGCTCAGAGGAGACGCGGTAACATACGTGAATATTCCCACCAGCCCCATGTCCAAAAAACAGCTGCATTACATGGAACTAGAGCTGCAGGAGTCCAGCACGGCCATCAGAGGTGCAAAACAAGCAAATGATAATTAGTAATGTCAGTGTTGTAGTACTCGAGACTCGGACTCGTCTCGGACTCGGTCTCGAGACCATATTTTAATGGTCTTGGTCTTGTCATGGACTCGTGTGCATTTGGACTCGGAATTGACTCGTACTCGAACATTTTTTTTTTTTAGGACTCGGAATTATTCCCGAGTCCACTCGAGTTCAATTAAAAATATTTTTCATGATTATTAATGTATGTTAATAAAATATTTCTTTAAATTGATTGACACGCCCAGTGATTGGTGATTTTCTAGTGCGCAACTGCGCATGACAAATTGTAATAAAATTACTTTCAACACCACCTACTATGTGGCCTTTTTACCCTAAACTGATCATATTTTTAAAACTCTAAGTAAATTCAGTAAAAAAAAAAAAAAAAAGGATTTCTCTAAGTAAATAAAAGTAAATTAGGTAATCAACCCTCACTGGTCTCAGTCTCGACTCGGACTCGACCGTCTCTGGTCTCGGACTCGACTCTCTATGGACTCGCTCTTGACTCGGACTCGAGTGAGGTGGTCTCGACTACAACCCTGAGTAGTGTATTACACATATATAGATGTAGTATAGACGAATCCGACGAGCGTTCTGTGTAGGCTGCCATCTTGTGGCGACGCCATTACTGAGCTGTTACACAGGCATATAGACATATGCACCGGTATGTAAACAAACCTCGGTGATAACGCGAACTCACCCTCGATGACAGCTACAGCCAGGCAGAATGACTTGTTGGTTTGATCTGTGACTGCAGTGGCCTCCAGTCACAGATGAAGGTACAAACGATCTTACAGATTAACGTTATTTATGAAAATAGCTTGGGAAGCTAGCTTGGCTAACGTTTTAACGAGGAAACTATAAAAAGATCTGTCCATTTGGCAACAATAAATAAATAAATGAATGAAATCAAATAAACAAATTCATGTTTTTAATTTGTGTCCATTATTTATCTAATTTTCACATTGCAACGGGCAAGGGTAAGGTAACGTTACAGCTAGAAAGTATACATAATATCGACCAATTAGTGTTTTTAAACCATGGAAAGAGGTCAATATAACAGCAGGAAAACAATTATGTCACATAACGTTACATTTAGCTCAGGAAAGCCATTTAATGACCATAGCATGTTAATTGAATAGAAAAAATAGCAAGAGAGGAGATTTTGCTGATCACTATATCACATATTTATTATATATTTTTTTACTTATGTCATTAAATAATTGTTATTATATGCGAATGTCCACGTCTTGTACTCGCCCAGGAAATCTGTAAACCGTACGGCACCAGACAGGGGCACTCGACCCGGGGTATTCACAATGTTTTCTCTTCAAAATTGAAATTTTACTGCCACCATTGAAACAATTTATAACGGAAACTGTTTACCCACTCGACATTATACAAGGGCTAACGTTGTAACGTTAGTGACAGTCGTAAATCGCGGGCTGTTTATTCCAGTGGACGCAAGTTGCAACTAAAACAATAGGAGGCAATGGCGCAACGCTACCCAGCAACAGCTCAGTAATGGCGCCCGCTTACTTCCGGTAGTTTCGCCGGATTCGTCTATATGAAAGCTTGTTGCTGCCACAGAATAAAAAAATAACAAAGGTCATTTTGATGTTTGACATTTTTTTTCCTGTGAGGAAGTGGCGGGCACAGGCGAGACGGGTTTGGTAGGAGAGAGATGGTGGAGAGAGAGATGTCAGCTGATCCAAGGGTTAGATCTGTGCAGAGGTGGAAGAGGAATGTCGGAGTAGGACAGTGGCTACATACAAGCAGGGAGCTTGAGCTAATTGGGACCATACAACTGCACATAAGATCACCTAGGCAGAACTTTGGAAGATAGAACCAGCTAGACTCAAGTTTCTTATCCATTCAGTGTACGATGTCCTTCCAAGCCCAGCCAACCTGCATTGCTATGGTTTAGCTAATACCCCAATATACCCACATGTGCCTGGCAAGAGGTTCCTTAGAGCACATCTTGAGCTGCTGCCCGAAGGCCTTGGGAGGTGAAGTACAGGTGGTGCAATGACAGGTTCTGAGAGCAGTGGATGACACCATCTGCATTGTAATCCAATATAGAAAACATCAGCTCCCAGAAAGGCACAACATCACCTTTATCAGGGTGGTAAAGAAACATCAGGTGGCTCATGATTGGCTGCTGGAGGTTTAAGTTTGCTGAAGTTTCCAGAAAACATTGCAAGGATGACACTCAGCCCAGATTTGGTCTTAACATCTGACTGTTCCAACCAATGGTCATGTTGAAACTTACTATGCCTTGGGAAGGCTGGATATGGAGGCCAATGAGCACAAGAAGGCCAAGTATCTCAAATTGGCAGAGGAAGGTTATGTAGAAGGCATGGGTGGATGGGGCTTTTGCAGGACAGTCTTTACATTGGACACTCAGTCTTGGTATTAGAGGGTTGCAGGAAAGTACAGCTACCAAGAACATCACAGAAGCTGTGGAAAAAGCATCAAGATGGATGTGGATCTAGAAGGGTGTTCTATGGGGTAGTGCGGTATTTGGACTGATTACCCCCTGCTGGGCCGGCCAGGCCAGGCCATGATGTCTGATGGTCTAAGACCAGAAATGACCTCTGACCCTGGGTTTATCACTGATGATGTGTCTGAGTTGAACCATTGGGTGTTTCAGAATCAGAATCCATAAACTTGCAATTGCAATTGCAAAAAAAGAAAAAAAAAATACTTAGCTGGTGAGATAGTCGCAGTTACCTTTTAAAATTTTTATACTGTGGCAGACATAAGCATCCATAATATTATTAATTATTCAACAACAGAGCATCTGCTTTCAAGTCATTCACAGTCACATTCAAGATATAGCCCATCTGACAAAAACAGATTTTACTCTTTTTAAAACAAAATAACAATAACTGAAGCTCAAATACAATAATAAATGTCACTCACTTTGATGCAATGTGTATGTCCCTCACTGCATGTGTTTTTTTTTTTTGTTGTTGTTGTTTTTTTTTTGCTAATATATGTTGTTGTTTTTTATTAAATTATTATTATTATGTATAATTATGTCATTTTCCTGTGATGAAAAGCTGAATTTTCAGCATCTTTACCATCTTTTTCAGAAATCCTTCTTCTAATATGCTGATTTGCTGCTCAAGAAACATTCTTTATTATTATCAATATTGAAAACAATTGTGCTGCTTGATACTTTTGTGGAAACCGTAATCATTTTTTTTTTCCAGGATTCTTTGGTGAATAGAAAGTTCAAGCAGAAATATTTTTTTAAGCAGAAAGTACAGCAGAAATATTTTTTGTTACATAAATGTTTTTACGGTCACATTTGACAAATTGTGTGAGCCTTTCTGAATAAATATTTATTTGTATAAGTAATGATTTAAACATTTTCAGGCCAACATCAACATCTGTCTTGTTCTTGTTCTGGTTCTGTTCAGGGAAAAGCTCCAGTAAATACGCTCAGATTGACATCGCAGCGACCGAGGCGGCTCACAGAGCAGGTACCCAGCATGCATTGGGGCGAGAGGAAGGGCTTCAGAGACTGGAGCAGCAGAGGAGAAGACGAGGACTGAAAGAGGACTGAACTGAGAGACACTTCACGATCGTCTCTTGCTCTAGACAAACTGACCAAAACACTACAATTATGTGATAACAGTAAAACACAAAAAATAGCGTGTCTACAGAAGTTTCCACTCATTTTCTAAAATAGTTGACTGTGGATTTCACTATGGAGTGAATAGTGAGTGAGTGTGCAGTGTTAATCAAAGCATATACACAAGTGTTTTATATACAGTAATGTATACAGCTCTCTCTCTCACTCACACACACACACACACACTGCTTAGATGAACATGTTAATCACACATTCAGTGTACAGTGATAAAATATCTGTATTCTCATGTTAGGTGAATATGTGCAATGCACAGAACCAAAAAATGCATTTTTAATTATTTGTTGTTTTTTTTTAATTAATTTATTTAGTTTTTAAATGCTGAATATTACTTTCTAGTTGCATTAAATATGCTGCATTTACTTTTTAGTCTTTTTGTTAACCTAAATTAAAGTGTAGTCATGTGAAGACAATTTTTTTTAAATTAAACTACTGATTTTGTATTTTAGATTAATTTTGGACCCAAAAAATCATGCATGGCAGGTGGAAATGAACAAAGGAAATGAACACAGTTTGAACCTATAATCTGGTGCTAGATATATTAATCAAAGTTTTTCTGACAGTAATGCTAATAATAATCGTTTGTATGTACAGGTGTAAAATAAAAATAAAAAAATTCAATAGGTCTACTGTTTCTTCTTATTATTATTATTGGAAAGGTTAGTCTAAGTTTTATCTGGAGACGCAATTATACTGACTCGCCGCCAGAGGACAGTGTGAGGCTTTAGAAATGGCTGTAAATGTACGTGAATAAACCTGTTCACATTGTAAAGCTGGTGGAAAATAGAAACATCTATTATTAAAGATTATAGAATCATCTCCTCGTGTTCCTGGTGATTGTCTTCAGGAGAAAGAAGGAACAGTGGAGTTTGGCGATATGATTTCTAAACGTAGATGACCAACAAAGGGGGGTGTTTTAAAGAAATGTAAGGAATCAGAAAATAGTAAACATCCCAGCTGACTGTTCTAAGAACGTTTTGATATTCAATTAAGTTATAGAAACTTTATTTTCTGGATGTTCTCTGGACGTTCAGAACATCCAGTTTTTATTTATTTAAATGTTTTAAAAACGTTCCATGTGCGTGATGACGTTGTGAGGACGTTATTAAAGACCATAAACGTTACTGGAAGAACGTTAGCTGTGAACTCATTGTCAGAACTTTCTGAGAATGTTGCCTTTTAGCTGGCATTAATTTGCACTGACAGACATAAAGGCAAACATTAACGTTTTAAATCTACACTGCAAGCAACGTGATAAAGGTGACCTCACTGGGATTATGGCGAAAGAAGTTAAGAAGTTTGTAAGAATGTTCCGAAGTGCAATTCAATTTTAGAAAAAAAAAATTAAGTTCTCAAATATTGTCCTTAAGAAAATGCTTTTGGTGTAATTTGATTGTAATTGGCTGTGTGGCCTATTGCAGACTCGACAGTCCATAAACTGCCTGTAGATTACCGTAGTTATCATAATACGCGCTCATACTGTATTCGCGACTGGCTTTACGGGAGTTAATCACTCAGCGCTGTGATTTTACTGCATCTTGTTCAAACATTTTAAAAGAGCCTGTCTCAAGGTGCAGCGGTCTTCCCCATTCATCTGCTCCGTATGCTATTTTGTTGCGCTCCCATTACATGCGTCCTGTATGCGCTGCCTGCAGAGATGCTGCGTCCCATCAGTGTCCAGGGCTGCGTCCGAAATCGCACTCTCTTCTTGAGTAGCTAGGCCTAGGTAGCCTACTTATAGCCTACTTTGTGAAAAAGTCTGTTCAATATAGTATGAGTGTATGTTCTATTGTATGTGTGTCATCATTAGCATCTTCAAGATCAGTTAGGCTACTGAGTAAGGGCAGACTACGCAATCATAGATTGATAGAGATGAGTTAGCCTAACACTAGCAGACTGTAAATCATTACTCACTCTGAATTGTGTCCATCAATCTTAATGAGACGAATGTGTGTGTGTGCGTGTGTGTGTGTGTGCGTGTGTGTGTGTGTGTGTGTGTGTGTGTGTGTGTGTGTGTGTGTGTGTGTGTGTGTGTGTGTGTGTGTGTGTGTGTGTGTGTGTGTGTGTGTGTGTGTGTGTGTGTGTGTGTGTGTGTGTGTGTGTGTGTGTGTGTGTGTGTGTGTGTGTGTGTGTGTGTGTGTGTGTTAAGGGCTAGAGTGTTCTGGATTTTGCGTGGGCAATTGTAATAGATTCAGCAAAAAAGTACTGCATAGATCTGCACAGTGCAGCAATTAGGCTACCCGAATAAACATTCCCAACACACACACACACACACACACGCACCACAACACGTTCACACTTATGTGTTCTGAGAGTGCAAGTATAAACACAGCGATTATTTTTGAATAATAAAAATGAATCAGCTCAAGAAACTGAATAAATGAACTCACTCAACACGGACAGATCATGACGAAGGGAATCTCTCTCTCTCTCTCTCTCTCTCTCTCTCTCTCTCTCTCTCTCTCTCTCTCTCTCTCTCTCTCTCTCTCTCTCTCTCTTTTTTTTTTTATTGTGCGACACATCTTTCATAAAAAAAAAAAAAATTCTCTGTAAATCGTATTATTGATTACCGCAAAAAAAAAAAAACATTCTTTTTATTTTTATATTGTCTTATATAAAAATAAATGTATTTATTTGTATAAAGTAAAGGTACTACTTTACTAGGCTATATGTTACCATAAACCAGAGGCACCATTTAAAAACAATACAGTGTCATGTCAGTTATGAATAGGAAGGGAGGGGGAGTATGTGTGAACATGATGATTTATGCTTTTCTAACAGTCGAAACTCGTGATGATGTGAGACTTCTCCTGTCGGAGAACGCCGCTGCTGTAACCACGACAACGCTTCCACTTGGGCCATTAGATGTCACAGGACCACACGGTTGCGCGGAATAGTGGTGGGCGACACCTGTGCTCTCTCTCTCTCTCTCTCTCTCTCTCTCTCTCTCTCTCTCTCTCTCTCTCTCTCTCACACACACACACACACACACACACACACACAGAGGGGCTGTGGTCGGTTTTGAACATCGCTCCTCGCCATAGGTAACGTCTGGGAATAAGAGCATGAAATTGGACACAGAAACGCGCTCTCGGAGCTCCGCCCCTAAATAACATCATCAGCGTCATCATATTCGGAAAGAAATTACTGGAGGGCACGAGAGAGGACGCACGCGGACTGTCAACCTGCTGTATGCGTCGCGCCGAACCGTCGCGTTTATCCATCACCTCTGAATGTAAGTCACATTATTTCATTTATTCGATCAGTAAGTTTATCAATGTGTTTATTTGCTTTTAATATACAGTTCCGAGATGGTGCGTTGTACAATGCACATGATGCATCATTAGTGTTATTAAGAGTATGAGCAGACAACGTTGTGTTAGATCAGAACTTATCTTCATTTATCAGACTATTGCTCATTCATAGCCTTAGTCACCCTATAGCCTTTGTCATTTATATTTCGGCACACAGAGGTCATGAGAATCACAGGTCTGTTGCATGTCAGACAGACTGTGATTATTCAGGTATGACAGCCATACCCCCTTTAATAACAGCTTGATAAATGACAGCATTATTAGAAGTGACATTGCCACGTATGGAAAAATGTACTGATGATGTTCATAACATGAAAGACAATTGACGTGGAGAGAGGGAATAACAAAGCGACGAGCATGGTTTGGAGAAATACAGATGTTTATTTATTGAATTATTTACCGACATTTGTCTAAATATAAGTATCCCCCCCCCCCCCCAAAAAAAAAGAATAAAATCAACTCAAACTTATTATTATTATATTAACTATTAATTGTAATAATACGATTAATATCTATTATTTTCTGTAAAAGTATAACAAAATAAAGACATATTTAGTACAGCTAACTAATTGTATTTACCTATTTGTACTGCACTTTCTCCTGCACTATAGTTTCTGGACAAGTTTTTTTTTTTATTCATTTATTTTTTTATTTTACAATTCTTACCACTTAATTTGTATATTTTCCAGCCACTAAGCTTATAAATACTTCAATACAATATAAGGCTACACTCTAAAAAACGATTCGTTGGCTGAACAACCATTACTTATAAAAGTAATTGGATCAAACATAAAAAATTAAGTATTCATAACTTTTCAACGTTTACTTAAAATATATAGTGTGTGTAACACAAAAATATAAGTTACTAGGTGCACTTAAATGTATGTATAAATAAAATGAAAAATACATAAGGCATGTCAACTTGCGTCAAAATTAAGTAAATCTAGCATATCATTTTAAGTAACTATATTAGCCACGTGATATGCAATTTCCCGTGATGCCTATCCAGACAAAAATTTTAAGCCATTTTATTTCACAGCACATGTGAAGACGTTGAGAAGAGGTAAGCTTATTTTTTGTACTTAGGCCTACACATGATCATTTATTGCATTTTTGGTCAAGAAATTTACTTTTAACTGAATTTCAGAATTTCTACAAATTGTGCATCAACAATTAGAAACGTGTTACTTACGAATGTAAACGTTTGTAGTCTACATGTTAATGAAGGAAATAAGTGTTTTGCACGCGAGTATTTGAAGAGTATATTGTGTTTTTTCAAAATATATGACCATGATGTTGGCTTATGCATTAATGGTGTGTTCACACAGAACGTGAATTTAATTACTTGCGATAGCAGATTACATTCATAGTCAATGCAAAGACGCGAAGACGCATCATTCGCGCCGGGCGTCGCGAATTGGGTGACTCGTTTGCCGCGAAAGTCTTCCTCGGTAGAAAAATTTGAACTTGAGCGGGCTGCGGAAGATTCAAGCATCTAGACGCGACGTGTTTGACGCGTTCGGTTACCAATTCGGACGGCTCTTTCTCCCCCACGGATAGCCTAGATTATAGGCCTACTTTGTTAGCGAGTTGTTTTTGGATAAAACAAATGTACCTTGCATATTTACAAATTCCCATATTCTCTATCTATACATGGATTGTGGGGAAGGGGGCTTTAGGCGCGGGTTAACGTTAACATAAATATTACATTCAAAAACACATTGCCTACAGCTCCGTGTGCACAATTTATCATTAAATAATGGCAATCTTGATTCTAGCACAATATTATTCCTAAATGACAGCGACATTCAGTAAATTAAACCTTCAAAATTATTATCAAAATAAGTAAATACCCTTTAAACAAAAGTTTAGCTTCAAATAAAGATTGTAGATCTTTACTGTTTTGCAGTAGTTACTGAAGAGATTCGTTCAAAACCTCTGGACAAAAGTCATTAAGTAACTTCTGTTTTGTTTAAATTAATAGATATTAATAGACAAATTTTTATATTTATAGGCATTTAATAATGGACTAATTTGTTACATTTAATTGTTTTTATTGATTTTTGAAAAAAATAAATATATAGGCCTATATATCTTCTGCCCACCAAGCCTTCATTTCTTTGATCCAAGAAAAAACTGTAATATTGTGACTATTATTATTATTATTTTAACAACTATTTTCTATTTTAATATATTTTAAGATGCAATTTAAAAGTTTTGGGTAAAAAATAAATAATAAAGTGAAATGCTTTATTGTGTGTGATTTGCATGTTTAATTTATTTTAAGACATGTAAGCTTAAGATCTAAAATAAGTTAAAATGGTTGGTTCAACTGATTTAATTGTCTTATTTTTTATATATAAATGAGCTTAAATGTTAAGTAAACAGAACTAAGATTTGTTTTGATCTCACATGGCCTGCACTGTGTTGGATTTACTTAAAAGATATATGCACCATTTTTGCGTCATACTTTTTAAGTAATCCGTAATCATTTAATTAAGTAAATTTTTAACTTGGTATAATTTTACATAAAATAAACTTAAATATTTGAGTTCACGTGACATTCTTTACTTAAAAATATATGTAACGTGATGCATACATTTTTAAGTAAAGAATGTTGCGTGAACTCAAATAATTAAGTACATATAACAAAGATTTTCTTGTTAATTTTAAGTAAAATTATTCCAAGTTGGGATTACTTAAAAAGTATGATGCAAAAATGGTGCATATATATTTTAAGTAAATCCAACACATCATTTTTTAGAGTGTACACTAATACCCTTTAAAGAAAATATATAAATAAAAGACCTATTTTAATCCGACTTCATGACTTTCATTCATTCCAGTATTCTAATATCCTGATCATTGATGAAGGAATAATTTTGATATGAGGAAGAAAAGACTTTTAAATGTGTTGTGACACTGGCAGGAGTAGATCTGAAATGAAACTATGAAAGTTCCATTCAGATGTTCAGAAGCATTGTTATGTGGTGATCGAATACATTTAGGTCTTCAGAAACCATTTTTATAGATAATAATGAGTCAGTAAAACATTTGTGTTCATGGCAGTCAGTACTGTATATGGCTAAGGCAGTAGTATCGCTGTTGAAGAATTTAGATCTTATTGTTGGTTATATAAGGTTCATGCTGTGAAACTGCTGCGTAGGGCACGAGAGGGATGCAGGCATGCTTTTGACATTGTGCCGTTTCACTGTGACCTTGAAAATGCAGACGCAGCTGTGAGTAAGAGCAAGTCAGCAATCGCATATGCTCACAGATTCACACACACCATTTACTTAGTGCACATGGACATACGTATTGCACGGACACTGGCCTGGCAGCGTAGATCCTGTTGGCTTTGTGTGATGTGTGATTAACCCCCACCCCACCCTTTCTCTGTGATTATTTTTCTCAGGCTAATATGAGGAAGCCTCTGGTGTGCTGAAGGACATCTGGATTCCACAGATTTCTTGTACAAGTAGCATTCTCAGCATGCGCTAAGCCTAACCGTAGCGTAACAAGAGAGCACATGAGTGTTGAAACAGAGAGAATGGCCATAGCCTCCGACGTGCAGCCCAGTCGGATTGCCTGTGCCCGCCAGCGCTTATGGAGAAAACTCAGGCCTGCGCGGGTGATCAGCCTCCTCATCAGTCTCGTAGCAATAAGTGCAGTGGCCTTCTCGTGGCGCTCTACCGCTCAGTGGGAGGGGCTTCAGAGCCACGCCCCACACAGAACACTGCTATCCACACACCTGGGTTACCACAGTAACCTCTCGGAGGACACGCCCGTAGCCATGCGCTCGTCCGCAGAGTCAAACGAGAGTCAAGGGGACTATCCGAATGACCTGTTCAGCCTGGAGGACCGTCGGCGTGGCGCTGTCGTGTTACACATGTTCGGCATGATCTACATGTTCATTGCCCTTGCCATCGTTTGCGACGAGTTTTTTGTCCCCGCTCTCACGGTCATCACCGAGAAACTCAAGATCTCCGATGACGTGGCGGGCGCCACTTTCATGGCGGCCGGGGGCTCGGCTCCTGAGCTCTTCACCTCCGTCATCGGCGTTTTCATTTCCCACAGTAACGTGGGCATCGGAACCATTGTCGGCTCCGCTGTGTTCAACATCTTGTTCGTCATTGGAATGTGTGCTGTATTCTCGAAGGAGATCCTGAACCTGACGTGGTGGCCTCTTTTCAGGGACGTCACCTTCTACATCATCGGCCTCATTATGCTCATAGTTTTCTTCCTGGATAACTACATCACGTACTTGGAGAGTATCAGCATGCTGCTCGTCTACGCCTCCTATGTGCTCTTCATGAAGTTCAATGGGACGGTTGAGACTCTTGTCAAGAGTGTCACGAACAGAAACCAAGTGGTGGAGGTGGAGGCTCAGCCAAAGGTGAGTTGACGACATCTGTTCCTTCCTCTGTCTGTCCAACCACTGTAGACCCCCCGCCCCATCCCATTTGAACTGGGGACTGGTTAAGTCATTTCTAGGTAGGATTAGTGAGTAAGTAATAGGAGAGACCACATTGACCCAACCAGCTTCCCAAACCCAAAGAGACCAAATTTTGAAGACCAATGGATAAGCAGAAAAATACAAAATGATTAGGTCTATTTATTTTTAACTACGCAATAGTAATCTTGTATTAGGCCCTATATACCAATAGCCACTCTCAGCCCTTGAGGGCCTCATCGCAGTCCACACATTGATGGCGTTGTGTAGGCCAGGGATCTACAACTTTATAATTTGACTTTTATAATTTGCTTAATAATATGTGGACAGTGATTGAAAGGTTATTTTGCCAGACAGCAGGATTTGGGGGACAGCAGAACATAGAGCTCCTGAGGATGATGAAGAAACATATAAATTCTAAACACACAATACTGGACCCGAGTCAGAACTCAAATGTTGCCAGGCAACAGGTAGAAGTTGTCTTTATGGCATACACTCAGATACACATGCATATCATGCATGACTGTGAATATAGTTTTCCTGCAGCTTCCTGTGTTTTGGTTCTTTATTAAGGCATAAGCTCTTCATTTGTGATGCAGTCATCATGGATGCAGCCAAAATAATCCTGCAGGCTTTATGTAGCGTAATCCATTTGTCTCCGCTATTGCGACGAGGTCTTGACTAACAATAATCATGATCTAATACCGCAGTTTAACCTTGAGCCTAATCCGTAACCCCTGCAGTTGCCAAAGCATCTTCAAGCACCACATGTGAAGTTTTACAATTTTCAAAGGAAAAACTCCTTACCTCTTGACACGTGGTTGACGTCACTTTGTTTACCATTTACATTTACGTTTGTTTAATAGATTCAAACCATCGCACTAAAATTTCCATGACAAGCATCCATTGAAAAGCAGCACTTTTGTCCACAAAAGGGCTAAATCTGTAAAATATTGATATATTGTCCATTGTTTACGTAAAAGGAAAACTGAATACGGTCGCATACATTAGACTACCACAAACAAATGAGCCCACCTCTTTTTATTTTAGAAAATAGGGCGGTAGTTTTTTGTTTTTTTTTTACATCTTCAGGGGCATGTTCTTGAGCCATTGTAATTGTAGTAAATCTTGATGACAAAAGCCAATGCCAAGACGATTCCAACAGCGTGTGTGCTGTTTATCTTCCACATGTGCACATAGAGCTATTTTTATGATAATGTACTGCTGTCTGGACTCCGGCTGCATGATATATCATTTTAGATACATTGTATTAATTAAAGGGATAGTTCACTTTGAAATTAATTTTTGGTATGTTTTACCTTACCCCAACGGCATCCAAGATGTAAGCGTCTTTGTTTCCACATTAGTTTCAATTTTGATATTTTTAGGTCAAACCGTTCGTGTCTATCAGTCAATGGAGGTCTGTGGTCACCACCTTAAAGAGCATGCACAGAGAAGTCCAAATTAAACATAATTTAATGACTCGTAAATGTAAGTACACATTGATGGCATAAGACACGAAACGAGCGGTTTGTGTGAGAAAACGAACAGTATTTATATCGTTTTTTAACCTCTTTTTACCTGGTAACAAGAGGTTTTGCTAGGTTTTGTGTGAATTTAGTAATAAAAGATAAAAACTGTGTGTTTTAAAATTTTTAAATAATAGCACCAACTTTTAACATCATTCAATTGTTATTTTATAGTTTTTTTTTTAAAGAATGGCTTATATGTGGCTTATATATGTGTCACATGTAAAAGTAAGTGTGACAGCTTTCTCTAGCCCTCAGATCATTGTTAAAAAAAGCACGAGTCAGAGAAAATTTCATTTTTTAATCTTCAAACTTGAAACATAACTTCTTACGACTTTTAGTATTGGATTCACTGTATTTCTAGCTGTTTAAAGCATCTTTATTATTATTATTATTATTATTATTATTTATGATACAAAATATGTTATCCCAAAAGCATGTCCATTCCAATATACTTCCGCTTGTTCAGCACCTTTTTTAATTCCTATATTACTTCTGACTTGTGTCTTTCAAAATGTACCACAACTATGCACTTGCTCCAATGGAAAGCAAAGGCAACCATTTGAGTTCAAGCATGTAATTTTAAAGGGGTGATGAACTGAGAAATCAAATTTTCCTTGAGCTTTTGACATCTAAGAGGTCATCATATTATAAGAATATCCTGTAAGTTTCAGAACTGAAAACGTCCTTGTTAGTCCAATAAAAGCTTTTATTGACACAGCCTCTAAAAGTGGGGAACTATGACGACAAATAGGATAAAACACCACCCCCACAGAAGATGATCAACGCCTGCTTCACCATGGCAGGTTTAGCCCCGCCCACCGATTCGCGCATTACACACATAAGTATCATACATGTACATGCTTACCTCGTGATGACAAACTGGATCGCTACCGAGCAATACAGAATATTGTGCAGTGCCTGGTTGTGCAAGACAGTCGCTAAATAAATTTATAAAATTTAAATTTTTAATGACGTTCCAGCTGTTGAGGTAAAACATCGTCGTCTGTTCGCTTCATTTCACTGAGGATTGTTTTGTCAACAAGACTGGATCTGCAGACCGATTAAGAGTAAAGAACGGTGGTGTGCCGTCTATATTGGATCTGACAGGAATATTGTGCAACACACGGACTCTGGGTCGAACATGTATGGGCAAATCCGGTTGCCATTTGACAACATAGGACGTTTTCCCCCACGTACACCGGCGGGTGAGTGAAACTCATTATAATATGCAAAACTGTTCTCCACTCGCAGCAGTGGGTGTTTACTTCCAAGTCTTCAGTGTGACACGCCCATAAAAACCGACTGTTTTTTTAGGTAGGCTCACAACCAGGGTACAAAATAGCCTATTACTTGTTCATTTTGATGTTTTTGAATGCAAAAACCAAGCGAACGTTATAAGTTGACCTCAACAATATAATAACATTTAAAAAGCCAGTTCATGACCCCTTTAACTCTTTCCCCGCCAGCGTTTTAAAAAAAAGTTGCCAGCCACCGCCAGGGTTTTTGACGATTTTCGCTAAATTTGAATGCCCCCGCTGAATATTTTCTTCCATGAATATATGAAGATGATATATATAAAAATAAAGATCTGAGCCTCTGCTTTTAGGCAAAAAAAACGTTTTTATTTTATCTTCATCTGTTCTTTTTTTATTGCCTCTTGAACAGAGGTAGGTTTTGTCAAAAACACAACATTTTGGACAAAAAACTGAGAAAAAGGTGTTTTTATCAAACAAGTGCATTTAAAAGCAGAATACATTCAGATGTTGTTTCCTTCATATATAAAACTTTCCAAAATAAATTAAAAACATAAAATAAATGTAAAATATATCAAATTTCCCAGGATGTAAGGGAAATGTAACTTTTGCAATAAAACTTCTGCCTCTGCCTCTCTGTGTTCTACCTGTGAATGATGAATAATTGGAATTACAATAAACAGGCCTAGACACACACACACACACACACACACACACACACACACAAATACATATTACAATGTGGTAAATGTGCACAAAGAGAGAAATAATTTGACAATTACACCTTCATATTTAGACAGCCACGCATAAATGCCTGCACACACACATACATATTATAGTGTCATAATATTATACGATCTATCTGCGGCACGTCCATGGCTAGCATGAACATGTGCATCTCTCTCACTGACTACTTCGTCCCGATCAGATTCAGAATTATCAAATAAAGAGTGATCGGACTCCGAGTCCATTAACCTCCAGTACTTCAGCCATATACCTCTGCATTGTCTGTCTGATACATTCTCACTACTCCACTGTTTGAGACGATTGCAATCTGTTTCTCTAAACAAAGAGTTGCGCAATCATTCAGGACATGCGCGCGGGTCTTCCATACCACCTAAAACACGGATACCCGGAAAATTCCGTGTTTGGCGCAGATGCGTTTTTTCATTAAACACGGAAAATTCCGTGTTTGGCGGGGAAAGAGTTAAGTTTCATTATTCAGTTTCATTATTCACAAATCTTATTTGGTGTTTAAGCATTGTGTCTGCATACCTACAGAAAATTGTGCTCTCTGCAGACAATCTAAGAAGTACCGCGGAATCATATTTCTATGTTGTTTTTATTTGAGTTTTCATGCATTTTACACATTGGAAAGTTGTTGCTGTTCATGCTCAGGGACTATTTTTTCTAGCGGAAGGAAGGCTTTTATTGATTTTACTTCAAGAAAGTTGCACAAATACATTGTTTTTTACTTTAATATTGTGTGGCAACCGTTTTATAAAAGCAATAAGGTACTCGAGGCAAGTGCTGTATCGTGAATAAGTAACGGGTACGGCTGAAGGGGTTGCAGGCACTCTGCTTCGCGTCGTGCCTAACAACGCCCTTCAGCCATTACTTATTCACGATACAGCACAGCCTCTCGTACCTTATTGCTTATGTAATGCATATCATTCAAACAAAGATGTCTGTGTTGTTTTAAAAGTGTTGTTTTAATTTTTTATCTGAAGAATGTTGCGACGTGGTGCCTATTCGGTCCAGGCCGTCCATCTCAAAATATCATCGCCGGAAAATTATTTATCATCCTATGTCTTTTATTGTCAGATGCATTCACTCATGCCCAGGTCCTAATGTGGTAGATTGATCTGGCTCGAACAAAGTTTGAGTTTTGGATTCCAGATCATTCTTGGCTGAATGAAATATTGCTGTTGTGCAGGTATGACCACCAAGCAGAGATAATATCAGAATCAGACAGAGCTTTATTGCCAGGAAGGTTTACACATACAAGGAATTTGTTTTGGTGACAGGAGCTTCCACAGCACAAACAGAATGACAGTGACAAGACACAAATATTAAAATATGATCAGCATGTCTAATAAGATACCTTGCATCAAAGATGGCGTGGTTGGGGTGGGTGGTGAGCTTTGGAGAGGGGAGT